TCTGAAAACAAATTATCTGCGTCTGCAGATAATTTGTGTCTTTTCCCACTTATTACAATTTCTCTGGTGTGTATATAAGGGATAGGTGAAATATGCCCATTTCTAGAGGTGGTGGCGGAAGGAGAATGTTTTGGATTAAACTTTCTATCTTCTCCGCTTCCTCAATTCATACCGTGCACCTATTTGCGCTCGGTGTCGAATATTCAATTTTGGCCTTATTGGCTTATGGCTGGTTACCCCAAAGAAACAATTTATTCCATGAAACCCCATTGAATTCTTTCTTTTGAAATTTTAAAACCTGGGATTGGGTCCCCGCCTCCAGGAGGGTTGGAACCTCCTCTTGGCCATTTGACGTGGGGTGCTGCCCTTTACCCAGCTTTTGCGGATGAAACCTCCCAGCCTTCTCCTTCAGGATAAAAATTTTTTTAATTTCACTTCCATGCCGTCTTCATGCAGCTGCACAATTGGACCCTAGAAGTCGGTGAAGAATGATGGACGTTTTTCTATGGTGCAATGGAATAGGCTTGTTTCACATTTCTTTTCTAATGCATCTCTAAGAAGAGCGATTGGCTTCTCACCATTCTCTGTTTCTGAAAGGTAAGATGTATGATTTGAAAGATTTTGCTCTTGGCAAGCGTCAAGATGAGATCAATGATGGAGATTTCCGATTTTGTAAGGGTAGCGCGTTCTGGGAAAATGTGGAAGAGAAACAGTTTAACATTCAGGGTTATGTCTGCATGAATCACTTTCAAAATTTTTTCAACGTATACACACATTTCCTTTAATGAGGGACGTTCAATATACATATGGAAGTCCCCAGACTGCCACATGAAAGACAAAGATTGGGGACACTAGAGAATTGTGTAGCAGTCTCCAGTTGATGTCACCATCTTTTTTTCTGATTCAGCAGATCAGTACCTCAGCTGCACTATAGTGAATACCTTACAGATCTGTCATCTACATTTCATAGCTTCTGAACAGCCTTTGGTAGCCAACGCACAGCTGTTTTCAAATACACCGTTGAAAAGTCATCAAGTCAATTAACACGTAAGAAAAACATAAAAGTTGCCCTACATCTATAAAAGAATCACAACAACACACTTTTTCTTACCATCAGGTTCACACTTTCTTTTTCCAACAATTTTTTGAAAATGTCTCTTTTTGGTTCCCTTTGCTTTGACAGTACAACCTCCCTCAAAAACAACCGAATTAACACTGGCTACGAGCGAGCAGCCTGGACAGCACCAGTGATGCTGCGATGCGCTGGAGGGGCGTCATGCGTGTTTCAAAAGACATGCATAACGCATAGGGTTAATGGAGACGTGACCTCTGTTCTTTCTACTGGGAAAGTTTGGATTCTTTGTTAGTTACGCACACAGACGCACACGCGTCTTGGAATTAACATGATTTGTAATTGAAGTGTGAAACTTCCTTTCGACTTGGAAAGCAAAGGTTCTGAGTTACTTACGCTCTTTAATAGATATGGTTCTGGTTTCTGGCCTCTCTTGTCATTTCTCACATTGTGTTTTGTAATGAAATAAAAGGTCATAAATCCTTACCCGTCTGCAACACAAAATGTTGCAGACTTTAGAATTTTATTTGACCGATTTTCACAATATTTGGAATGTTGTGCACGAGTTATGCACTTCAACATGAAAACCACCATTTTCACGAATGCGCTCAAGACACTCACGGCACTCGAACAACGTTTTTTGCCTCATTTCAACAGTGATTTCGCCAAAAGCATTCAATATACGCTGCTTCAATTCCAGAATGTCTGCCGGTCTGCTCAGTGTATACCGAAAAACCTTAAAGCATTGTGCCACTTGATAATGCTCATACGAATAGTTACTTAACCGAAAATGTTGTTTAAAAAAAACGAGAAAATTGGTGAAATTTAAACAATGAACTTAATAAACAGCACCAATAACATGCATGAATTTGCACAACATGCGAGGCACAATAAAAAATCGAATTTCTCAGAAGCTCCGCGTCAGAATTAAATGAAAAATCAGTGAGTGTATACAAAAGTTTCAAGTTACAGTAAAAATTTAATTTCTCAAAAACTTCATGGTAGAACTCAACGAAAATTTGTCAAATAGAATTCTAAGGTATGCACTACTTGGTGTTGAAATATTATTGAAATTTTGGTAAATAAATAAAAAATGTATACAAGCTAGCTTGTGATTCAAATTTCCGATTTTATGGTTTGAAAGAACACCCTTTTATTCACGAACAATACATATCGTTGAGGAAAAATAAGTATGATAGATACTCTGTGGCATAGCCCTTTGCCTCATGCACATCAGCAACGCCATCATATTGACGAGACCAGCATTCCTCGTCTGTGGGATTGCAGCCTTGGCGCAGAATTTGCATCAGGGAGTCCTGGGATCTTATTTTACCGTGACGATTTCGCTTGTATCGGTCGAGAATAGCCTAAACGTGATCAACCGAGTTCACTTATGGCTAATGACTGGGCCATGGCAGAGTTGTGATCCCTTGAGTCTCTTGCCACCTATTGCATTGCACTGGCAGTGAGGTGGAGCGCCATTGTCATCATCGGACAGATAACCATAAACAGGCAGAAGTCCCTCTTGGAGAATGTTGATGTATCGTAAAGAAGGTAGCTTCTTTGCAGACCATGAGTGACGTAGCCGGGGTTTCGCTTAAAGGGAACTAGAATTTCGGTAACTTTAAACCCCCCCGTGTGTGAGTATGGCATATGCATTTAGACCAGAACTGGGGGTGGTGAGAAACCAAACCAAGAGGGGTTCAGCCCCCCCCCCCCACTACACCACAGCAACACACCGCCATATTTTTTTGTTGCTTTCAGATGCCTCAATGAAATTTCCTGTGCTGGACGGCGCCACAACCATACAAAACCACTGTCTGAGAACTGTGAAAACCGGGACTCATTGGAAAAAACAACAGTATTAAAAAAAATGCAAGTGCGTGTGGTAGCACCCATTGCTGTCGACGATTGACATTGCGTAGGGTGAGGAGGGGTTTGCCTCTCTATGCTCTTATGTAGTATCCCATGCTGTGGAGATAAATGACGGTTCTCGTGGATACTTTCATGTTCTGCCACTTTCGCAGCCGATTGTCGAGGTTGGTTTCCACTCTCCTCATCACAGCGCCAGGTGTTCGTTGACTTGGGGCGTCCAGGACGCACACAAACGTTTGTCTAATATAGCTGCTCTTTTCCACTGGACAACCACCAGGGACGTCATTTGGTAAAACTGCAAGGGGGGAGGGGCTGCAAAGAAGCTACTTGAAAAGACACAGTTCAACCAGAAATGTTATCGCCTGTTTCAGTTTCGCGAATTTTACGAGGCACATTCAATCGCGAAATTGAATCGCTCGTGAATTGTTTCCCGTAATGGCCAAAACAGGGAATGGTCCAGTTCGTGAAACTTAAATTTCGCGAAATTATAAAAAAATTAGGATTTCACGATATTTAAATGAGCGCCAGAAATCCTCTCTCGGTTGTCATTGTAAAGTTGCCTGCAAGAAGAATTATATTTAATTAGATGAAACTTCAACCATGGTTGCACTCGGCAGCAGAAAATCTCTCAAGTAAGAGTTCAAGAGGCGTAAAGCAAATTCACAAAAGGTCTCTGATTCAAGCAAACCGTTTTAACGTCCACGAAATCGATTAGATTTACTGCAATAGCAGAGAACGAGGAGATTTCAATTTTTGCGAATTCGCCGATCAATTGACTCCATGTTCGCTTTCGGTGCGGCCAATGGCAGACGACTCGACTCTTCTCATCTCTGATCTTAACGGTACAACCTTGAAGCCCCATTTTTTTGTTCCTGGGAGCACAACACGAGGAGGTATTAGTGCTGCAATGGTGTTGTCCTTCCTAGCATTATGACTTCTGATATTGCCTATAATGTGATGACCGAACTTTTGGGATGCGTTGCACATTTTGGGGTGGACCTTTCCCAGAAAAAATTATTTCGTTTCTGGGAATCATGGAGACATAAGGCTGAAACCTTAATAAATAGGTGTATGGTATGCAGTCATAAGGGAAAATCCTACCTCCGATATTTATAGTCTAAGGGTAATTTTAGGGGGAACCATATATTTTAATATTTTGCTACGCTGAATTGGGTGCTGGTGGATATATAAACCTGGAATTTGGAACCTTGGTTTCTCTTCAGTCGCTAATTTCTGAAAATATCCTTCTCTTGTGGTAAATCCATTGGATGCACATTTTGGGTGATCATTTGTGTCACTTTCGGAATTGTTTTTAAAGTAGAAAGGGCAGGCACAGTTTGTTACATTCAGTAGACAAGTATATATCTGCATGCTTAACTCAGAAAATATCCAACCTCAGGGACAAATCGGCACTCCGAATTTTGGAAGTACAATTCCTAGAAGCACTTTTTTTTTCAGCAGACCGTCGTAAGAAATGCTGGCCTACCACATGACATCTCACCCAAATTAAAGCCCTGATGACCTTTTCAGCAGCCTCGGGTCGATAGTCCCTTGCACACCAAGCTCCTCCCACGATTGCATTGCTTTGGAGGCAGGCCGCACACCTAAGTGTGCGAAGAAACATGAACCCAAGCAGCATGTTTACGTAAAATTAATGTTCCTATATTTACGTCACCAAAGTGTACGTGTATTTTACGTAAACTAGACGTTACTCCATCTGACGTGAAGTACATGATATTAAGTTTATGCAAAGTTAACATCACACTTTCCATATGAAACTTGAGCTGATCATCCCGCAGTCGCAATACCAAGATTCCTCACTAGATGGAACCCTTGTTTCCTGCACCCTACAAATGCTATTAAGTACTGGCTTTCCCGATATAGTATCAGGTTTAATTACCATCCTTCCACTTTTTATTATGCAATCCATGAATATACGAAAAGCAGGAGATTATTTCATATTTTAAAATAATATATGACTCAGGGAATCATTAAATGCTGAAGCTAAGCTTATTACAGCGGTGCACGGGATTAGGGAAGAGTAGAATCCCAACTACACATGTACTATACCTTCACTATCTTTAATGGAAGAAAATTCCTCCTCCCGAGGTCGTGGTATGGGAGGAGGAACTAGTGAGTCATCTTGGTACTCTTGAGTACTGGTGAAGATGAGTACTTGTGTACTCGTGCACTCATCCAAGTAACCTTGAGTTCCAAAGTATGGAAAGGAATGGGAGAAATAGAGTTGGTTTGGTATATTAACCTAGTGGTAGCAGATATATGAATTCAAAAGTCAAGGTTTTTCTTTCTGTTTCCTTATTAGGCACAGGCATTTATTTTCAGTTCTTACCCAATCATGCTAATGGATATGCCATTGGATAGTGCTAAGGACTAGCATTCTTCATGTTACAGGTTTGACTCCCATCTTGACTGCAACTTTCAGGTAAATGAAATCATGTTGTAAAAGAAGTTTAAAAAAAAAAACAAGATATAGCATTCCTGCTTGGCAGTGTAGTGAAATTTAAATCAAGTAAACAAATTCATCTGCATAAAAAAACCCTCACTGAAAATGGCAAAAAAAAAACAGATGGGCAAGGTTAGCTTTCAGGGAGATGAGCAATCATAGTGAAACCTGGAGGCTAATCAGAAAAGGAAGAAAATCAGAAACAATCTCTAAATGCAGACATGCAAATATATTGTATTCCTAATTGTCCTGCACAGCACCAAGACCCAGGCATTGAAAGCTTTGTCAGGTGTCAAAGCTGGTCACTTTTCAGATGCTATGCCTGTGGGATATAGTTGTCATCATGTGCCAACATCGTTTCAGAAGCACGACCATTGGAGAATTGAAACAAACAGTATTGATTAACAAACAAGTACCACCAACTTCAGTGGTGCAGTCATGTACACCAAATGGGTCCAGATTTCTGGGCTCCCAGGGCCCTAGCAAGACTTGTGTCCAGAGAGTGACTGATGGCCAAAAACTGCTGGATGGATAGCATCTGAGTAGTAGCAAGTAGTGAAGTTGTGCAAACTGGAGGACACCCTTGGTTGATGCTGCAAACTTTGACATGTACATCGAGTCCCTAGTCACACGGCAGATGCAAGTAATACCAACTTGAAAGTGGGGGCAAGATAAGTGTGATTAAAAAAAGAATGTAGCTAGTTACATCATGGGAATGATACTAACACACTGAGTAGAGGCTTAGCTACTGAAAACCAGCCAATATAAAATAGTGAAGAGGCTCTTGACATGAATGGACTTCCATTTCTCTAAATGCAGTTTAAATATAAATTTCCACATTCTGGGTTTCCTTCTTCCTGCATTTCTCTCTGCATAAGTTTAGTTCAACATGTTAAGCAACACCAAGCCTATGGGCACATCCAGCTGGCAGTGACTGAATTTATTTCAAAATTAAATCTCAGGAATACTTTTAATTATATTTTCCAACTTACAAGGCACAATACTCAAATCATTTTCTGTTCAATTTGCAAAATTGTTTGAAAGATAGAAACAGCAGACTAAAGAGCAAAGAAAAATAAAATGCTTGCAACAAATTCAAGTTTTCTTAAATGTATAACTAGAAGGTCTACTAGTTTCTGAGTAATAAAAGGATGTAAATGATCAGGAAATAATGGGTTAAACTTTATTCTTCATTGGTACAAGGACTATACCTTCCACAAATTCACTTCTACCATCAGTGAAATTGCAATAGCATTTGAAAAATCAGTTCTTGTCAAAGTAATCAATATGACCTCCAGAATTGTATTTCTTATCAGTCAGGATCTGAACAAGGCGCCCTATTGTTTTCTCAGTGGATAATGTGATCTTCTTTTTCCTCATGTCATCAATCATTGACTTCACTTCTTTCATGGATGCTTCACTGGCATGCTGAATCATGTCAGTTTCCACAGGTCCTGGAGCATAGCTGATGACATCCAAATCCTGATCTTCAGCAGCCAGATTCCTGCAAAAGGCATCTCGACATGCCTTTGCTGCACAATAAAGACCCCAACCCTTGAAGGGTTGCAAGGCAGCCAGGGATGAGATATTTATGACAGTCTTGTTTTTTACCTTGTCAGGAGAGAAAATCTTCAGGAATTCTGTATTTAAGCAGATGGCAGAGTGCACCTGAGAGTCAAAATATTCCCTCATCTCATTCAGGTCATCATAAGAAGAAACCTTCTTTGTGACAGGGCCAAGGTTCCCTGCATTGTGGACAATAATGGCCTTATCATAGTCTTCAGGCTTGGTGTTCGTCTCTGCCAGGGATTGCAAGAGAAACTTCCTGAACTTGGAAGGATCTGGCTTGGACAGATCAACTGAGAAAGGCTTCACAGTCACATTAGACCCTTGAGCTTCAATGGCAGCCATGGTCTCTTTCAAACCTTGAGAATTCCTAGCCACAATAGTTAAAAGTGACTGAAGTCCAAACTTCTTTGAGAACTGGATAGCAATCTCCTGACCTATCCCTCTGCTAGCCCCTGTCACAATGCAATATGTACGGAGACCCCAAATATGACCCATCTCAGAACTCCTTCAAATGCCCAAAGGATTTGACTGTTTCTCTTCTTCCCCAACAGCACTATTTTCTGAAGATTCTGATGGCTGTGTCTCACTTATTGCATCATCCAATTGCACAGAATGAGCAAGAAGGTCATACTCCAAAAGATGTAGAATTTCCTCTTGTGATAAAGCTTGAGATTGAGGAGCAATTCTTCGGATGAGGACACCAGCAGCAGAAGACTGGAGAGGTGTGTTTATGTAGTAGGTATCTTCTACAGCCACTGAATTACTATTTAAGTAGTTCACAAGCTGATCCAATTTGGACTGTTCAAGACTCTTTAAGAAGTCATTTGTTGCAGAACTTGTTTTTGCTGACCCAGCCTTCAGTTTAGACAACTTGTTTTCTGCAAAAACAAAGAAGTAGATTAGATATCTGATAGAAGAAAAAGAATGCAGTATGTTAGGCATGTCATAGCCAGACCTATACCTATTAAGCAAGCTATCATTAGGCTTACTTTCCATACTAATTGACATCCCTGCATCAAGTCACCTGCCACTATGGGACCATAAAATACATAATAGCAGAGCATGAATAAACAAAATCCCAGTAGAATTTCCAAGAAACTATCACAGCCATATCATATCATATCATAGGCCTATCAAGAGGTTCATAAGTCTGGGCTACAAGAGCTAAAAGTTATACAGTGTTTTAGGCTTGACTTCCCCAAGATCTCCATACTTTTCAATGGCCTCAGCTATGAGTTGTGAAGTAGTGACTCCTTCACTCAAGAGTCTAAGGTAGGGTGACCAGATCGTCCTGGTTTTACCAGGACAGGCCGTTTTCTCTGGAACAGCCCCTGGTTTTGAGGTACTGCCCTGCTCGGAAAACTATCCAGCGATTTTTCCTTTTAGTGCCACTCATTTGTAGCAAGCAGCTCATCAGCCTATTGTCAACAGTAAAAGGAGGGAAAATGTCTTGGATTTTCTGTTTAAAAAAATATGGTCACCCTAGTCTATGGGCTTGTTGACTCATTGCTACACCCAGGTGTCCCTAGCTACAATTATTTGCAAATGCACTTATGAAGTGTTTCATGAGGAAACATCCCAAATAAGTGTTTGAGTCAAGGGGGAAAAAAAAATCCAACTCGTGGAAAACACTGTACCACCTCGAACATGAACCATCTTGAAAGCTCCAGAGGCCTGATGTCATTTCTTTCATGGGATATATACCCTCAACGCCTAGGATACGCCATAGATTTAACATTTGACCATGTGAATGGTGGTATGAGTTCATTTGTTTATAACTCTATATCCTTTCTCCATTGAGGGCGATTACCTCACGTCACTTGAACACCAATGACAACGCCGCCAGTAAAGAGAGGTGGATTAGTGAAAGTAAACCATAAAAAACCGATGGGGCCTAAAAATGGAAAGTTTGGGTATCGTCCTCAGTGTTACTCCACTTCACGTAGACCAACCTAGTTTCTTGATGTATGCTTTTGAGTCAGGAAGACGACTTGGATGATGGTGAGGAGACCGTGAAGAGATGAATGAATCTTCAAACGACAAAGCTGCTCCAAAGTATGAGCAGGGTATTGTAACGCCAGATGGGCTCCAGGGATCCATCTTCGCTAATTAAGAACCAAGGGCAAGGTTGCTGTGCTCTCGAATGCCATCCATGGCCCATTATGAGGAATAATTTTTTACATCACCCGTATTTTTATGCGAAAATCTTTACCTTCTGAAAAATAGCTTTCCAAGAGATTGAATATTGAAGTAATCCTATTGGTGAACAGAAGAGCTTCCAACTGTTCCTGTTGAGCTAGGATGATTTTCCCAGATTTATCAGGAATTGGAGGCGGGGGTTGGATGGCGGACATGTTCTGGCAATCTCATTGGTCATTTTCTGTATGTCTCGCCACGTGGTCGTGGCATTCAGTTGCCAAGAGGAAAAGTTGCTACCTATTACTAATACTTCGTGTGGTAATTGAGAACCGCACTATTCTAGTCTCGCCCGTTTATGTTGCCTGCGGTGTTTCTCACTAAGGTAGAATAGGCCTGTTTTTGGCAGAACTGTCAAACTGATAACCAGCTGCTCAGTTGACCCATTGCTACATATTTTCGTTCTCCATATCGGCATATATCATAGGTCTCAGCCCATGGATGGTGATGTGAGTATATTCTGATTTTTATTACCTCTGTTGCAGATAAGAGCACATGGTTGATGTAGGAATATTTCTACGTTTGCAAACGGAATAGACTGTGATGATGGATGAAGATAAGAAATCATCTCAGCTCCTCTCAGGAACAGAAGCTGCCAAGTAAGAATGGATCCAATTATTTTTTTTAAAAGCAATTTACTATTCCTCAAGTAGATTTTTTTTTCATATTTTCCCTCCATTACTCAAGACTCCAGTAATGAAAAATAAATAATACTAAGTGTGTCTCATTAGCAAGCAATTCACCAGTTTCATGTAGGTCCAACATGCACTTCCATAATAGATGTCATTATAGTTAGGTGCAAAGTGGATCCTTTCAGGTTTCAAATTCCTTCACTTGCCTAACCAATAGTGCTCAATTGCCACTTCACAATTCCTTTCTTATAATATTGATTCTTTTCATTCAAGAGTTGCAAACTCCTTTCTATCAAAAACCACATTTATACTTCAATTTTTCAAAATGCATTCATGAATTTCTTGTTCAGAATTCTACTTCACCTCCAAAATAGTTATGCTTTCTCATGAATGATCAGTGACTTGCCCTGCATGCATCTGTCAATACTGATTCCTTTCAGAGATGAGGGTTGTATTATAGGAGAATGAATATTGTAAGTAATTCAGATATGATACAGTGTGTACAAAAAACTTCAAAATATGATTCATTTTACTTTCCTCATATGACACCTAGTGACCTGAATTACCCTATGATCTGGAAATTAAATAAGATTTAGGTTCTTGGTTCTTGCCATTTATGCTAACCATCACCAGCACTGTGTGTGCTGATGAACCATAAAATGTACTAGAGGCTCTTCCTGGTTGACCATCTGAATGAAGCTGTAATTCAGGTTCAGGGTACTGATATTGGCTAAGATTAAATTCTGATTTGTTTATAGAGAGGTTCGAGAGAGGCTGGCAGGTGAAACTTCAACACTGATCAGGGAAACTGGAATTATACCACGCCTCGTAATCGTGCAAGTTGGTGGCCGAGAAGACTCTGCTGTTTACATCAGGATGAAACTCAAAGCAGCATCAGAAATTGGAATGAGGGCTGATCATATACATTTGGAAAGAGAGATAACTCAGTCTGAAGTAGGTTATTTGCTTCCAGAGTCTTAGCCCTTCCATCATTTTGCTCCAGATGATAGATATATTACTCAGGGGAAATGAGCTATTACTCACACTTTTTGCATTCTCTTTTATCCAGTTGCTGAATAAAGTTAAAGAATTGAATGACGATGCAACAGTTCATGGAATTATCGTCCAGATGCCTCTTGATACAACTGAAGACATTGATTCCCGTTTGGTTATTGATGCAATCAGTCCTGACAAAGATGTAGATGGGTGAGTCTTGACTGAGTGCTTATAGTTTGCAATTCTGCCCTTTTTATCTCCCTGAGTGACATCTATGACCACAGAGTCTCATTTGATCAGATGCCATTGTTTATTATGTATAGAAACTCATTCTATTGTCTCCCTTTGTTCTTCAAGCCTCACCACTCACAATGCTGGCTTTATTTCACGAGGAGAAGTTGATCAGGGTTTCTTACCTTGCACACCTGCTGGCTGTCTAGATCTCATTGAAAGGTAGGTAAGATTGACAGATGGTTTCTTTTGTCAAAGATTGCCATATCTAAAGAATCTCTGCTTGACATGCTCAAGGTCAGGACTTGAACTGAGTGGATGTCAAGCTGTTGTGATTGGCCGTAGTCGCATTGTGGGAGCTCCCATGAGAGATCTTCTCACTGCCAGGCATGCAACAGTCACCACATGTCATTCTCGCACAAAGAACATTCCAGAACTTGTGCGTGTCCACTGTTTCTACTTGGATAGTTTTAGTTTGTGTGGGATATGTGTAGCTGAAAATATTCTCATTCAGAAAGGACATCACACTTTTGCCTGCAGGTTTCAAAGGCAGATTTGCTTGTCGTTGCCATGGGCAAACCCAAGTTTGTTAAGGGTGACTGGATTAAACCAGGCTCAGTGGTCATTGACTGTGGCATCAATTCCATTCCTGGTATGTAAGTTGTAAGTTCTATTCATGGAAATGACTAGGGCTGCTGTTTGAATTATGTTGCTCATTGTCCTACAGATGCAACAAAGAAGTCTGGGTCTCAGTTGGTGGGTGATGTGGATTTTGAGGCTGCAAAGTATCGAGCTGGCTGGATTACTCCGGTTCCAGGGGGAGTTGGTCCCATGACTGTGGCCTTCCTTATGAACAACACAGTTCAATCTGCCAAAAGAGCAGCACAAGAAATGTTGAGAGAGTCTTGGGCACTTCCTCCACTCAGAATCCATTCAAAATCCCCTGTTCCTAGGTCAAAATTTTCTATATTCTGTCCATAGCAAGTGGAATGTCAATAAACTTTGCTTGTCTTGCATGCACATTGCAGTGACATTGACATAGCCATGGCCCAGACACCAAAGGACATTGGAACATTGGCCAAGGAAATAGGTCTCTTGCCAAGCGAGGTTGATTTGTTTGGGAAGACAAAAGCAAAAGTTTCCCTGTCAGTGCTTCATCGTCTGGATGGAAGGAGCAATGGGAGATATGTTGTAGTGACCGGGTAACTACTTATTGTCTTAATGCAAAGTATGTTTCATTATTTGTACTTGCCTCATTCAAGGTTTTTGTACCTTTGACAGCATTACTCCCACTCCACTTGGTGAGGGGAAAAGCACAACAGCAATTGGTTTGACACAAGCACTTGGTGCCCATTTGTCCAAGAATGTTTTTGCATGTGTGAGGCAACCATCACAAGGGCCTACCTTTGGTATCAAAGGTATCTTGATTCTGAAGGTTCAGCTCTCAGTCACAACTCTGTAAATCATCATACTTACAGACCTTTGAATTCCTTTTCAGGAGGTGCAGCTGGTGGAGGTTACTCACAAGTCATCCCCATGGATGAATTCAATTTGCATCTGACTGGGGATATTCATGCTATTACAGCTGCCAATAACCTGCTTGCAGCTCAGATTGATGCAAAAATGTTTCATGAAAGGACACAGAGTAATGAAGCTCTTTACAGGAGACTGGTTCCTGACATGAAAGAAGGGAGGAAATTCTCCAATATTCAGGTTTAAAACTTTGTACAACATATAGAAGCATTGATGTTTCTTGCTATGTTTAGCTTAGCACCCATTCATGAATCTTTTGTGTGCAGCTCAATCGCTTGAGGAAGCTGGGCATTGAGAAAACAAAGCCAGAGGATTTGACACATGAGGAAATCAAAAAATTTGTTCGACTTGATATTGATTCTTCTACCATCACCTGGCAGAGAGGTTCTTGCTTTAACACCTTGGATACTATCAAGTTAATGGAACGAAACATGACTAGAGTTCTTTCTCACCAACAGTTTTGGACACAAATGATCGGTTCCTTCGGAAGATCCAGATTGGACTATCACCCACAGAGAAAGGTCATGCCAGGGAATGCCAGTTTGATATCACTGTTGCAAGTGAAATAATGGCCATACTGGCACTCACCACAGGATATGAGGACATGAGGCATCGACTGGGTAAAATGGTTGTTGCTAGTAACAACCAAGGAGAGCCAGTCACTGCAGAGGATTTGGTTTGTCTGCATTCATTGATAATGGTCATGAGAGTGAGAGAAACAATTATGATATATCTTCATTTGCTTCCATAGGGGATCAGTGGAGCATTAATGGTGCTAATGAAGGATGCTATCAGACCAAACCTGATGCAAACTCTAGAAGGAACTCCCGTGTTTGTCCATGCTGGACCATTTGCCAATATTGCCCATGGAAATTCTTCCATCCTTGCAGATGCTATTGCTCTCAAATTAGTTGGACCACATGGATATGTTGTTACTGAGGCTGGTTTTGGAGCTGACATTGGTACCACACTCTAAATAATCAATCTCAGGTTTTCATAAAATTTTCCCAATTACAACTATCACTTTGCCTGTCCTTTCCAGGGATGGAAAAATTTTTCAACATCAAGTGCCGATATTCTGGTCTGGTGCCAAATGCTGTTGTCCTTGTGGCCACTATCAGAGCTCTGAAGATGCATGGAGGTGGTCCATCTGTTACTGCTGGTGTTCCTTTGCCTTCTGCATACACTGAAGTGAGGCTGCTCAGTCAAAGATATGATAGTCTGCAGTGCACATCTTTTGTGACTTGGTTTTTTTTTTCCCAGGAAAACGTGGAATTGGTTGAAAAGGGATGTCTGAATCTCAAGAAGCAGATATCGAATGCCAAGAAATTTGGAGTCCCTGTTGTGGTTGCCATCAATGTTTTCAGGTCAGTCATGAAATCCAAAGCAGTCTCATGAAGTTAAGTTGCAAATGAATGCAAAGCACATACTTTCTCCTGATTCAGTTCAGACACTGAGAAGGAGCTTGAAATGGTGCGTCAAGTGGCTGTTGAATCTGGTGCACTTGAGGCAGTGCTATGCAATCATTGGGCTGAAGGGGGAAAGGGAGCTATAGCTTTAGCCCAAGCTGTAGAGAAGGCCTGCCAGCAGCCAAGCAATTTTAGGCAAGTCTTTTCCTACAGTTATCAGGCCCCATAGCTATCACATGATACCCAAACAAAAACACTGGATATGTTTTACAGATTCTTGTATGATACCTTACTACCAATTGAGGAGAAAATAAACATCATAGCAAAGGAAATATATGGAGCAGATGGTATTGAGCTGTTGCCAGAAGCTCAGAAGAAGGTGGACACATATACCAAACAGGTGAAAGTCATATTTTCTAGCTGTGACATCCTGTATATTTTATTTACATCCAGTTTTAGCTAATCTGATTGATTGAATCTGGTTTGCTAGGGATTTGGAAATCTTCCCATTTGCATGGCAAAGACCCACCTGTCTCTATCTCATGACCCTTCACTGAAAGGAGTGCCAACAGGATACAAACTACCTATTCGAGATGTGAGAGCAAGTGTTGGTGCAGGCTTCCTCTATCCTCTTGTAGGGACGGTAAGCTGATGCATTACAAATCTATGATTACTGTCGCTTCAGGATCTCAGTGCCTTATTCCCATTCTTATGAAAGAGTTGTGGGAAATTTAAACATGAAGAATAAAATGCCAAATCTCATCTCACAGATGAGCACAATGCCAGGACTGCCAACTCGGCCATGCTTCTATGACATTGATCTGAACCTGAAGACAGGAGCAGTGGAGGGCCTTTTCTGACAATCACAGTACCCCACAGTGATACCCCCAAGGCCTTCATTAGGAGGAATCACGTGGGTCAATTCTGTGCGAAGGATCCATTACTGCATTCGACGCCTTCCATTTATCTTTTGAAGGAGTGCCTCATGTTGAAATTCTCCTGTGCCATGTGTTGTGCAATATGAAACAGAATGGTCTGCTTTGAATTACCCCTCTTGCTTTTTGTTTTTTGCAATTTGTTTGCTACAAATGTTCTATATACTTCCATATTTTGAAGTGGTGTCTACTTTGAGGCTTTTTTCAATAAAATACTATTTTCAAGAAATATCTGTTCATGAGTCCAATTTCAACATGAAAACACAAAAGATTGAAATGTAGCACTAGTGACAGCATTCAGAAAAGGGAGAACAACCTTCATGGAGCTGATGTAACCACCCCAAGCCTGAGAACATAGAAAGGAATCTTTCTCTCTAATGATCACTCAATACATAATCACAGCTCCTCCTTCAGTTACTATCACCATTTTCCATTGAGCTGGACTCTTCAGGATGCTGAAAAATCAGGAAACATGTTGAACATGCTTATTACTCCAGTGAGCAATTGTGTCAATCCAAATTTCACAGGATGCAAGTCCCATCTCCAAAATGTGCTTTGGGTAGTATGCTAATTAAAATTCACATTCTTATCACCTGAAGATTCAGATCTAATTTATCAAGATAATTTAGGTTTTTTTAGGTTTTTCTGATGAATTTTGGCAGCACTTCTCTCTCCTCTTAAGTTTTCCCTTCCTATTTTGGCATTCACTGTTTTTGACTTTGGCAGCACCAGGGAATCTCCTGTTGTTGGACATATTGGATTCTTCATGTACTCATCATCTTCATCTGGAGGACTAGTTATGTGTACATGTCTAAGGGGCTCCTGAGACATGTATACATGACTAGGCCTCCAGATGAACTAGTTCATGTCATCATGTATAATGCTAGACCCCAAAAACAAGTCTCAATCTCATCTCAGATGATTTTCCTAACATTCATGTGAAGTATCTGTCAGCATATTCTGCGTTCTTGGATCCAACAGAATAAGCCCACTCTGCATTCAAAGCAGCTGTCAAGTGTGAGCTGCACCTTTCTGAAACTCAAGCAGATATTGGATGATGAAAACCAGAACAAAGCTTGCAGCAAAGTCAGACAGAGAAGCTGCTCACAACAAGAGTTGTGTGCCAGTTGGGCACATAACCCATCAGAAATGCTTTTTGTGGTTTTGCCATGCACAAACTTAATTAGATGCCAAGGGGAGAGCATATCAATAGCTATAATTGCTTCAATGTCCATGCACATTTCTTTGATTAAGAAAATAATGATTCTTCATTGAAAATATCCTATGCATTGTGTTGATGAACACCAGACCATGTTACCAGGAGATCATACATTCTGTTCTCAGAAAGCAACTCATATGTGGAAACATTGGCTCTTCCCTTCCTTCTCTGCATACTCTTAGGGTGGATTTTTGAACAGAGCATTATCCGATAATGCAGCTTTATTTAGGAGAAAATGCATTATAAATCCGGTAAATAAAGCTGCATTATCGGATAGTTCTCTGTTCAAAAATCCACCCTTATTCATTATCAAAAATTTGAAAGTTCCTTGTGTTGCCAAAATTGAAACAGTGGAGGCTGAAATCAAAAGTTTCCTGCCAAAATTAAAGTGATCACTGCTGAATCAGAAACAACATGCTGAACTTAGTTGGGAAAACCTATATTAAAATCAAATACAGGATCTTGCATATTTTCCCTTGGTGCAATCTTACTATATAGTGAAATGAAAAAATTTACATATCATGAAATCTGACTTCAAGATCCCCCTTTTGCAATTCAAATCTAATTTAAAGAATTACAATTATAATCAAATTTGAGTTTGAGGATGAATCATGGGATATGATTTGACATAATTATATTTATACAAACTCAGGATTCAGGTTTAAAATTCAACTTGATATTTTTTCATTCATTGCCAGCCTCATTAACAAATAACAACTTTTACCTCAGTCTGTGACAGGTTAGGACCATCCTTTTCTGCTTCATTCAAAGTCCATGGGTGCTTACAATTAGGACACATCCTTTGCTCCTTCCCACCCTTGAAAAACTTCTTCAGGCAGTGACAGTGGATCAATCCACCACATGATTCACAGGTAGAGCCCTGTAAGATCCATAAGAAAAGCAAATAGTTATGACTCTTAGTAAGTTGAGACTATCAAAAACAGATTACTTTGGATAACAGCTGTGATGTGATGCAAGAGCAACTTTATAACTTAAAATGCACCATAACATTCAGCTGAAAAATATAAAATGCATTAGTAAATATGCATGACAAATGCCTTAAATATGCTGCAAAATAGCATAACTGGATTTTGCTTAGCCTCAAGAATAAGTTTTCCTGAGCATTTACATTTCAATTAAATGCACACATTGCAGAGTAAGTGTCAAGATCCTACTGAAACACAAAATCAACCAGGCCCAGTCAACTGTCAATTCCATCTTAGATTAGTAAATGTAAGGAAAAAGGTCAAATGAAACTAAAATAATAAATACAAATTACAATTAACAAATTAAAAGGTACTTATAGACATGGGCAACATAAAAAATTTCCAGCAGATTTAGGAATCGCTATCTTTTTTAAAATATGCATTTACCAACTAAACAAAGCTTTCCCATAATCAATCAGTGGGATCAATATGGGAACACCAAGAGGTCTTAAATTCCTTGCCCCTGGTTAAGAGTGACAAGTTTTTTTTTAATCAAAATGAACTGTCACCATTACTTTTCAAGTTTTGTCCATTTCACCCATATATGAATCATTTATAATCTTTATTTCAGCAGTTTTCCTTTTCTATGAGCTCCTAAAAAACATCACTCCCCAAAAGACTTCTGACAAACAGTTTCAAAGTCAAATTACATACCAAAGGCTTTCTTTGGCCAGAATTTACAAGGACACTATAAGCAAATTTCCAGTATCCAAATTGTCAAGACCATACCAGAGAAAATTCCAATTTCAAAATACTAAATTTGTTGGTACTCTCCAAAAATGGATTTCAAGGAAATGGACTGATGGGGTGAGGGGAGGTGCAAGAGTGAGGAGTAAGCCTATAGACATTCCCACGTACTTCTACCCTGTATTGTCAGCTGTGGGTGATTCCAAAAACAGCTCTGAGGATCTGCATTGCCATCTCTTTGTCAAGGCATGGAAAAAGCAGCAATGAATCCCAAAAAAGGAATAACCACTAGGTAGAATGAATCCACTAATAACTCGGCTTTCCAAATTGGCTCAGCAATTTTAGGTGTTGGGTAAATGTGGATTCAGTAGCCAAAACAGTGGCAACAAAGTAAATCCAAAACACATACTTGAATTTCAAAAAATTTTGATTTTTATAGAAGGAACCAAGTCCTTTCAGAGATCATGAAGAATGAAGGAATTTTACAAACTCTGGAGTTCCACAACTAGCATAAGTGAGTCGCATGAAGAAGCCCAACTTTCCACTATGATTCTTCCAATGAAGCATTATTGTCCGCTTCATCAAATGAAGCACTTACTGAACAGTAGGATTTGAAACTCACATAGACAATGAGGCCATTGCAAAGTGGGCAGTTTCTAATGTGCTCTGGAAACACATCTTGTAGATACTGGTTCATTTCTACCAATGTTCGCACACCAAGATACACATATGTTTCATCCTAGGAAAGATCATAATAATGCTATTATATCATATGCTCCAGCATGGGAAAAAATCCCATGCTGTACATGGAAATGAAGTATATACCTCTTCAAGATACCTCTCCAAGACCCACTTTTGAACAAGTTTTTCTGCATCTGCTTTGGAGATTCTGCGATCCAAGTGATCAACCAAATTCAATATTTCAATGGAAGATATGCAGCCACCATCAGATGTCATGATGCTCTCCATGATGGCCTTATAATATTCTGACTGTTCCAAAGTGTTATCTGGACTCAACCTGCCATGAATAGCAAAATCCAATTGTTAGAATTTAGCAAGTATGAAACACAAAAGAAGGGATGCTATAGCCATCAATGGTCTTCATTAGCCATTTGGGCTACCACCAAAAGGATCTTTTTTTTTTATTGGTCTTTTTTGCTACTGGAGGAGAAAACTTCCAATTAAAAAGAGACAAGAGTGATCCTGAGGCACTGGTTTTTCCTCTCTCAAAAATTATCTTCCACCAATTTTCTTCTTGTTATCCTGCTCTTTTCTATTTTTGGACAATCCCAAAGTTAACATATCACCAGACTCCAATTGACAACAAATTAGACTCTGCACCATATATTCACCAGTTGTGTTATGCACCATATATTCAAGTTGAAGAAAGACACTTCATTTCATCACTACTTGAAAAAAGGTATATTCCATCACTATTTACTGCCATAAATTTATTTCTTTTGCTGACATGGTGAAAGCAAAATGCAGCAACTTATAAATGCAACACAATTTGCAAAACAGTTTTGGGTCCATATCTATCTCTAAATTCTGTCATTTGAAACTAAATTTACACAGGAATCATCTACTATCATGACCAAAGAGATGTGGACACCTAAAAAATTACTTTTTGTAACAGTTGCATATGACATCAGCATTTGATGTACCTGAATTCTTTCATTCGAAAATAGACAAAAACTTTTTGATTCCCATTCAGTGAGCTCTCCATATATACAGGGCTAGTCAAAATGATTGCAGCGGTTTCAGAAAATTACTACAGGTTTATTATTTGACATATACTTACAAGATTGCACAGATATATAAACAAATAGTGAAAGTTTTTTTTAGTGTTTATAGATGCTCAATATACTAAAAAAAACTTTCACTATTTGTTTATATATCTGTGCAATCTTGTAAGTATATGTCAAATAATAAACCTGTAGTAATTTTCTGAAACCGCTGCAATCATTTTGACTAGCCCTGTATTATAGAAAAATTAAGTTTGGTAAATTTTAGAGAAAAATGCTGTAACAGTTTTGTCCCAAATACTCTGGAACTACATTTTACCAGGTAGCCCAAAATAAAGTTCCCAATTCAATATGCCAGCAAATGGGATAGCATACATGTTAATAGCAATACATTTTTTTATTATCACATCCAATGCATGAAGGTAAACTTATGAAGATCTTCATCTTGTTGATGTCTCACCTTGTGATGGCATTGTCAACAGTATTTACAAAGAGATAATACTGCTTTCCATCCAACTCTGAGACTCCTTTCACAATGGAGAAATGAACAGGAGATATCTCCTTATTGATTAGGGCAATCCATCTTGGAAGTACTTCACCCAGGTTCAGTTCACCACCTTTAATAGAGTATGTGTAAGGGTTAGGCCTACTTAGTAGGAAATTGAAACAAATCATTTTAAGAGGATGAACATTATTCATTCAGGCTATACCTTAATACAAGTGAATCAGAAAATCAGCTCAGGCATTCATTCAGGAAGCAAATGAATACTTTGAAAAATAAACCATCTACCAATATATTATATGAAAAATAAACCATCTACCAATATGTTATCAGGCTACAGGTTGGGGGGGCTTCAATACCTTGCAGATCAAATTGGACTATTTCACTGCATCTATCTCCCATTCTATAATTACCAATTTCCTTTATTATGTTACTACCCCCTTAAAGGATGTTCTCTATTGTTCTTAACCCTTTCCACTTGGTTTTTCCGCAATGCTACAATTGATGGCGAGCCCAGCTAGACAAAGGTGTGGAAAGGGTTAAAGGGAGAGGGGGTGACTACTTGGAAGGTAAAGGTATGAGGTCCCAGATTTTTATTATATCTGTCACAATCCATTCTCATTCTTAATCATGGCCCTACAATATTTTACTTGTATCTTCAGTTTCTAGAAATACCTTCAACCCTTTGAGATCCTATGTCTACATCTATGGACAAACTTCTATGAATTTTCAGCAGTTGCCTGTAGCGTTTTCACTGGTTTGTAGTATCTCAACATTTTCTCTCAAGATTAAGTGTGAATTTTTCCATTATATTTGAGCAAGAAACATTTATGAACATTTTTAAATTATAAACATTCACATAACTATAACTGGATGTGTGACAATCTTTAGTCAGTAATAACACATTAATTGCCTGCAATGATTCATTAACTAATGTGTGGACAAAATGGCTATAGCCTTCATCCTTGAAAGCCTTCTTCTGTGGGACAAGATGGAAATAAATATCAATGAATCTGGTAGTACTAAATCAGTGGGAACTAATGTGGGACACAATTGACTTGACTTGGAATGTTGTCACAGTTGAGCCTATATGAAATACAGTAGTGAGTTTATGAGAGATAGGGTTGCCAACTCTCCTTGAGTCAGACCTGATTCCTCCTCCTATCTGTTCCTATTTTTAAGTCTGTTAGATGTGACAGCTGTCACCCAAGGCCTTCCTTTGGACTTGGATGAGTGCAGGGCCTCAGAACTGGGGAATAGCCAGGGCTTGCAGCTTGACTGCCTTTATGTTGCCACTCCAAATGAAACTGGAAGAATCCTGGCATCTAGTGCTAACTGGTCAAGAGGAAGGGGCTTAAACTGGGAGTCTCCTGGTCAAACTGGGTGAGTTGGCTATTGATGAAAGATCTAACCAAAACCCAGGTGTCTGTGAATGTGTAAATGAGAATTTGTTTTATCAATATAATAATTAAATAGGCCTGTGCAAAACAGAAACTTTATTCATGGACTCTGGAATAATGGGAAAGTGGGAAAGAGGACAATGAAAACTATGAGCAAAGTGGCACAAAAAAATATATATGCACTCAAGGGGACCAACATCATTGATGTTTACGTCCAATGGTATTTTGTTTTTTTGACACATCAGTGACTAAGCTTCCAAGTCGCTGAGTCACAGCCACCATATTATGTGCAGAGGGTCATGTTTCTGTTTCATTCAGTAAGCTCACTTTCGGCCTCAGTAAATTGGGCCTTTGTTGATCTTAATTCTCTGTAGCTTCAGTTTACCCAATCGTAGACACCATCTATACTATCATTAGGCCTTAAAGCGAGACACAAGCACAAAAAAAAACTTACAATTGTATTTTCTGCAGCAGGCTTTGAATAGAGTGACAACCTCACTGGCTCCCAAGATGCCTTGACACATCATAGCCTGCAGAAACATCCTATGACAATCCTGGTAGTTCCTGAGATGGCTAACATTGACGTTATCCATTTCTTCAGTTCGTCATGCTTTTACCTTTCTAAACAGAGATTTGAATTCCACGTGAACACAACACGTGCCCCTACCACAACAACGCGCGAGAAATGAGCAAGGGCTGCCATCTTTGGGATTTCTATATTTTCCTTCGTGAATTTACAAGGGTTTTCACCTATTTCAGATGATCCCTGACAGCCAAGCTTTTCTTTTTTAAATATCACTAGAGTGATACAGTAATATCCCGGCCTCGTAAGTCCGTGAGACCTATTTCCCTGATGCACATGTGATGAAGGCAGTGTTGAGAGGCACGACTGAATGTCCTGGGTTCGGTGGTGTAATGGTAGCACACCTAACCGGCAATCAGGAGGCCCGGGTTCAATTCCCGGCCGTCCCCTGGCTTTCTTTCGTCCTCTCTCGTCCATCCAACCTCCCTACCTTCAGTTCCTCACGTGACACATAGATTAGGCATATACTGCCCTCCAAAAGTTTTGCAACACTTTTTCGTGATCGAAATTATCAGCACCTATTGATCATCTTCGAAAATTCCTCGAGACAGCTTAATCTGTTACATTTGCAAAGCGCCCACTCGTGTCATGATTTTATGACAGACTATTCATGATGTCATGAATACCCAGACGACATTTTTCGTGGGACCCACATTGGCCCAACGTGATCCTCCAACGTCAGGATACGTTGGCCCAACGTAGGTTGTTCGCGTAGGTCCCACGTGAAAGTGACCGTTGAGCCAACGTGGGGCCAACGTTGGCAGTAAGTTGGATAGCAACGTATAACCCACTTACCCAGGTAGCTGGTTTTTGCTCTATATCATCATCATTTCGTACCACATACTTAGATTCCCTATCCATTGAAGGCAGTGGCGTAGCGAGGGGGAGCTGGGTGGGGGGCTTCAGCCTCCCCAAGTTTGGTTCAAGTCCCCCCAACTCTGGTCGGAATGCGTCCGCCCCACCCCGACGAGAAGTTAGCTCCCCCAAGGCCTAATGATAGTATAGATGGTGTCTACGATTGGGTAAACTGAAGCTACAGAGAATTAAGATCAACAAAGGCCCAATTTACTGAGGCCGAAAGTGAGCTTACTGAATGAAACAGAAACATGATGAAGTTAGCCCCCCCAACGTTCAGCTTACCCCCCCCCCCCCCCCCATTGATAAAAACCTGGCTACGCCACTGACTGAAGGTACTTTCATCTACAATACGGTACCTGTACTATGTACTACATCTACAACCAGCGCCGTACCGAGGATACTTGGCGCCCTGTGCGAAATATCAGTCCACCGGCCCCCCCCCCCCCTTCTGTACCTCTCCAGCTTCCACAGTACCAACAATACATTACGTATTAATTTCTGTTTAATTTAGTTAAATTCCGGATAATTTTCAATTTTTTAAGTTTTATTTATATTTTGTAATTAGCGAGTTTGTTTGCCCGAAGGGCAAACAAACTCGCTATTGTCGCGCCTTCGGCGCTCCATTACCAGGATAGTGCTTCATTCAACAATTTGTTTTCAAAGTGGCGAAAACCTATTAAAAGTATATGCCCATCGGAATGTGTATCGAGAAAGAACAAACCGATATTTTCATCGGAATAATTACTCCCATTGTTTCTTGTGCGCCTAACTTCACATCTCTTCATAATCTGCCCTGATGAGTCATATTTGAAAAGTAGGACTCAGCAATCGAACAGGTACTTCTGCTCCAAGTTTCATCTTTCTTTAGTTCTCTCCTTCATTGAGTCGGTAAAGATTCCAGAAAAAACACCTTTTGCAAAATAAAAAGATGCCCTCAAGGGTTTCACGTAAAAATTAACATTTTTACTGAAATCAGTACTCAGAGAACTACCTGCAAACCAAGTTTCAACATTATCTGATTGCTCTTATTGCTGGTACAAATATATTTTTGGAAAAGCCGATACAGCCAAAAGCTGTGCCACCGGGGTATGCATCACAAAACTTGAAATTTTTCTGAACTCACCATCACCTCAGTTATTGCTATGCCAAGTTTCACATTTCTATCTCTGTACAATTCAGTGGACGAAAAAAAATTATTTGAAAACGTCACCCTCTAAAGATATGCCCCCAGAGCATGCATCCAAAGCTTTTCTGACATTTTTTTTTTACTCAGGGTCTTAGTAGGTACGCCCATGTCACATTTCAACTTTCCATGTTTATCCGTTTGACTGAAGCAAAAAAAAAAACTTGAAAACATCTTCCCCTGAAATTTGTGCCCCTAGGACATTTACCTCCAAATTCTGAATTTTTCTGAATTCAGGTTTCCAATAGGTACTTATGTATCAAGTTTCACCTTTCTCTCTCTGGCAAATTCGGTAGGACTAAAAAAAATTATTTGGAAACGTCACCCTCCAAAAAGGATGCCCCCAGGGCATGTACCTCCAAAGTCTGATTTTTTCTGAACTCTGCATCCCAAAAAGTACATGTGTACCCCCTCCCTTTTCCAGATAGGTTTCTTTTGCCCCCCCCCCCCCCCACTTTTTAAACCTAATACTGGTGTGCCTACACTGGTAAGTTGCGACTTGAGATCCTTGATGGCTTTCAGTGGGGTTTGGAAAGTAAATTTAGCTTGAAGCAAGGTTAATGCCTGAGGGGGATTAATACGATAGGGAATCCAGTAGGAGTTCCAGGAATTCTATGGGGAATTTCTTTGGAATTGGTACACCTACGAGGAACAGACGTAAAAGCTGCTAACAACTGTCTTTCTACTATACTATCGTTCTTTGTGCAGGTGATCCACACGAAAATCGCCAAAGCATTTCCAAATTTCAGAGCTGACGTGTCTCATTTGCCCCCCCCCCCCCCCTACCCCCACACTTTCAAGGACGTACCTACGCCTATGCTTGGCCTGGACTCTTTTTCCTCTTNTCTCAATTCCCACACTCTTTTCAAAACTATTCCCAAACTAAGCCATCTTACATTGCTGTGAAAGAGGACATCCGTGTGCTCGGATTCAAATTCCTCGAGCAGAGTTAAAAATTGCCTGTGGTTTAATCCTCTCGCTCGAATGTAGTTGACCACATTCGTAACTGTGTCCACAACATTGCTTAGTTTTAGAACACTCTTACAGAGGACCTCTTGGTGTACGAATCCGTCCTCAGGCTGTGGGTGTGGATGACATTTAGAGGAGAGGAAAGGAAGGGGAAGAGGACCTAATTATGACAAACGAGCTAGCTCAGCAGCTGTGCGGATTAAAACTGGCACTTTCTGGAACTAAAAGAACAAAAATTTTTCCCTTTGCTAGACATAATGGCGGGCCGGATACGGCCCGCGGGCCGTATTTTGCCCACCCCTGTTCTAGATGATCCCAGCACTCCTCGTTCTTGCTCTGTGACCTGAACATAATTTATTTCACAGAAATAATAATATACAAAAATGATATGCAATCTGTTCATCAATGTGTGAATATAACACGATAGTAATGTGGCAGTGTAAAATTATTATCTCTGTAAATATCTGCGTAAATACAGTACTATGTGGATATAATGTAATCTAACACTGTATGACACTTGTCATGTGGCGTATTTTGACTGAAGGGGAGGGAGAGGGGGGGGGCGGGGGGGGGGGGGGGGGAGGGCAACAGAGTGGGGCGCCAAACCCCACTGAGCGGTATCAGGTGGGAAAAATTATTACCTCCAAGGGGGTACCAGGGGAGGTGGCCCCCCCTCCCCTCCGCCCCCGTAAAATACGCCACTGTGTGCATGTCATCTAAACGGCCATATAACATTCTAGTAGAAAGTCTATTAATAATCCAGGCTCTTAAGAAATGTACTTTTAACCTAGCCACGAGCATGTGTAATACTACAGCCAATTCAGAACTTTTAGACACTGACGTCATTCAGGTGTTCCCTTCACGTGAATACAGATATTAAATTTCTAAGGCCTCATAGTCCCCGTGAATGTGGATGGATCACTTCATGATTCTCAAGTTTTAGAGAGACCTATCATGAATCATCACTTGCTGCAAGCAATGACGCCGGCTACAACGTGTTCTCCATACGAGGTATACAGCTAATGGCAAAGAAAGAAGACCCGCGTCTTTAAAGCATATGAGTCTGTTCATATTATCGTTGTATTCATAAATCATGCACTGGGCATGGAATGATATGTTTCCAACAGGCGATTGAATTTCCATTAAAATTCGCTTCATCAAAGTAAGGCGCTGAGATAAGGCGTTCAGAAGATATCGGGAATTGAAAATAAACAAGGAAAAGGAACCCCTTCAGCGTGTCTGAACTTCCCCCTACCTCCTCCTCCTCTAAACCCTTTAAGGGCATTTCTCACTTTGCGTGTCCTGCGTTCTTTGCGTCAATGCTTTGTAGGTAGGTAGGCAGACGAACGCGGGCACACGCATGTCCACTTACATCCAAGGGGTTTCGCAAAACGCAAGTCTTGCGTGTGGAATTGGGATCAGTTCAATCTGGGACGTGCTCGCGTGCAACGAGGGAGAATTTTTGGGAGAGAAAGTTCGCCTAGTGCGTCGAAATGCTGTCATATCTATGTGACTAGATCAAGGGTGTCCAATTCAATTTGGCGGGGATCAAATGATTTGGTTCAGGTGTGTTTTGGGGGCCTCACCAACGAATCTCACACCACATTTCTAATACGAACAAGTGAAATTTGCAGCAATTTTCCGAAATCAACTGTTCAAGAGGAATTCACAGGCCGGAGAAAATGAATTGGCGGGTCGGATCCATCCCGCGGGCCGCCAGCTGGACACGCCTGGACTAGATGCATTGACGTTCCATCAGCACCGATGGAGAAGCAGGGTACGAATGCAAAAATGCAAACATTAAAATTTTTTAGTTTTCTGCATGCATTTCTACATGTATATCGCCCGCGTGGCACTTCCTTGAGAAGAGGGGAATATCAAGAGAAACGTTAATCAAGCAGTTTGTATTGATACCCATTGATTTAATCTTTGTCAATGGATAAAAATGTTGATCAAATCCATCAGCAAGAAATAGCCAGCTCAAAGAATGGATTTTACGGAGTGCTCGATATGGCCTGGCATATGCAACCACAACGCGAGACCGTTTCCTCCATTCCACTACCAGCACCTGCAAACGTCCATTTTCACTATCCAATTTCTTTTAACCTCTTCCGTGCCAGGCATGTAGCTACTGCCTTAGTGGCGCATTGTCCTCAGCATGCTTTGAACGTAGTAGCCACGTTCTAATTACTCCGCCGAATTGAAGTAGCGGAAATGACAAAGATCGGGTTGCCCATAAGCATCGGTAATGTCTGGCTGTCTTCGAAGGTCTTTCGTTACAGCGATTGTTTGCTTCTTTTTTTTTTGAGGGGGATGCAGTTGGGTTTCGGCGACACGAAGGAGTCCTAGTCTCTCATTTCCCGAGTCCCTAGCCCCATTTCTCTTGAAATTTTATTTTTTGTTTTCATGCGGACAGGGTCTATCAATAGTTGGATCTCCACCCATTTACAGGAAAGAGATATTGGTGCCAATTTCAATACAACGGCCAACATGAACCAACGAACCAACAACTCATGACATGATTGAATTTTTGATACGAGGATTTCTGCTTCAATTTCCAATGATGTTCGTTTGCTGTTTGGCTCACTCCTATTTTTCCATCGACGAGACCGGCCTGAGTTGATATTCAACAAAGAGGAAACATGAATCCAGTTGCTGAGACTTCTCTTACACGTAGACTTATACATTCGAAGATGCTGCATGCAGTGGCGGATACATGGGGGGGGGGGGCGAATGCCTCCCTATGGCCAGGTTAGAATTTGATTTATTTATTTAAAGTAGCATCTGCATTAAATTTTATTGGAGCCAGTGAAATTGATACTCAAGTTCTTACCCCAGACGAAAAATGAAAAAGGCGAAAGGACGAGAAATGGTGGTAGGAGGAGGGGGGGTTAAGTAGGTAAGAACTTGGGAACCGGCCTCTTTCTGAAAATTGCCTGTATGCATTGCATTGAAGTCTCAACTTAGACATCTCTTGATACTTTCTAGATGAAAGAGTGCCGTGATTTGATCAGAAAAACGAAGCTAAATTCGTCATGGAAAACTGTATGACACCAGAATTGATCTCCCGATAACTGCTCCATTGACTTAACTTTTTCTATTCAAGTGAGAGGTCAAGAGATAGCCTAGGTTCTTTATCAGCTCCCGTTGTTGATAGCAATGTATCTTAGGCACAATATCGTTGAAGCATTCTTGAAAAAAAAATAAAGCAATAGAGAGAGTTTACGCTGTCGATTTATGCTGCGGAGCATGCTCATACGTTCACATGGACAAGTCATTGCAGAAATTGCTGAGTAATCATTCCATAACAAGGAATGAAAAGGGACGTATCCTTCGCTATCTGGTTTCTTCGTATTTCCCCTTCGCAGTGGCATAGCGGGAGGGGGGGGGGGGGGGTTCAGCCCCCCAAACTCTAGTCTATAAGCAACCCCCCTCCCCCACCGAGAAGATAAAGAAGTTCTATCCTCCGTTCCTTTTATCCTCCTCCCCTTGGCGAAATCCTGACTACGCCCTCTCCTTCCATGTCTAAACGTGGATTCCTCGAGGGGGAACGCTCACAATCGCTCATTACATCCTTGAAGGAGGCTCTCCCTTTCCAGCACATGGGGTCACAGAATAAAATTGGTTTGATATATTACGTCGCATGCTAGAACCATATTATCGAAAGTGAGAAGTGAAAAATCGAGAAAGGAAATCCTGGAATCAAAAGATTCGTACGACTTCATGGTTGAATGCGATGTCACTAAGAAAATCAGCCGTTTGAATGTGGTGGCCTGCCGCGACAGCTCAATTCGGCTTTTGGTTCTTGGTATTTCATAAAACTATCAGACATATTTCAAAGTGGAATGGGGAACCAGGAAACTTCTCTCCTGTTCCCCTGTGTCTGCCAATGTAATTACCCTCCGAATAGTTGTGGTCTACCAGGCAAGAATGCCGTCCTGTGTCGGATGCCGCCCCTTCTTGCGTGCTCCTTCTTTTCTAGATATGGATGGTCATCCGCTGATGCAAGGAAACCCAATGCTATGAGGATTCTGCATCGTAATCGTAATCTCGGGAATTGGAATCTTTCGTGACTAGCTTATCTCAGAGCCTGTATTTTCCTTCAAACGCAGATGATACAAGTATCCTCGAATCCGCACGCCAGAGGAAATGGTTTCGGCCGCGTTATGGACACAAGTTCAAAAGAAAAAGAGGAATGTTGATGGGGGCCATATAGCTCACTCCCACAGCCATCGCGGGCCATATGCAGTCACTAGTATTGTAGGAGACTATTTTAAGGAAACCTGAGGGCATTTATTGTGGGTTAGGACCTCGAGGGCCACTTTTTGCCCGCGGGCCGCGGGTTGGGCACCACTGCCCTAGCATATTGAAGCACTAGAAAAAATATTCGTTCTAGAGCACTGCACGGGACGGGATGTCTCGCGGTGGGACTTACTTTAGTCATGGGACGTGACGCATTTAGGCGTCCAAGGTCACAGAATCTGCTTGTCAGAGATATGGATTGAAATAGAACAAGGGGAGACAAATGCAGCTTTTGCTCCACACCCGGAAAGTGGGAGTGAGTATTAAATACCCTTTTATAAAATATAAACCCCTTTATAAACCCCTAAATGATTTAGATTATGGGCTGACAAGAAAAATCTGTGAATTCTGCGAAGGATACCAAAGTGGGTTGGAGATTGGGCGGGATGAGAGATGAACTTGGAGCTGTTAGATGACGGGTAAAAAAAAATGTTAATAAGAGTGAATGTACATTCACTCTTATTAACATTTTCTCATCATCTCATCAGTTCTCATCGATTGCAATAATAATAGATAAATTGAGGACACCGTCAGGAATGCAAAAGGGAGAGGGGCTCACCGGTATCACTGATAGGGAAACGGAAAATTTTCCGAATACAAGCAGTAAATGTGCATGGGCGTTTTTTGGCATTCAATTCCATTAAGAATTCGTGGCTTATTAAGCCGTTGTACCAGCATCGGGAAGTTCAAGTTAGTAATAAATTTGTACTTTTTTTGGCAAACCTGCAAATAAAAGGGTATTAATGGTACTTGAGTGGAAGCAGAGACATGCTACTGGACTTATTGCGGGAAATTCCGGGTTGCGGGATGTCACGGGCGTGTGAATGGCGTACGGCTACATTGGGATTGTATTAGGTGGACATTTTTACGAGAAGCGGCTCACACAGAGAGAAAAGACACGATATAATGTGTCATTTGACGCACGTATATGTGTCATGGGAGAATTTCTTTATTACGGTTGTGATAAAATGTGTCACAAGGGTCGACACAGTTCAACGCGTCTACAGTTGCAGTATTCACTGTTTTCAGTGTTGGGCGCGTTACTTGTGAAAAGTAACTAGTTACAATTACAAGTATTTCATCCCAAAAGTAATTAGTTACCAGTAAAATTACTTCTCACCAAAAGTAACTAGTTACAAGTAGAAGTTACTTTTCAGCTAATTTAGGAAATCACCAAGAAAAGGAACGCGTTACAGTAACGCCGTATACTTTTGCCATGAAAAAGGAACTAGTTACCAGTTCCGTTACCCTCCCCTGAAAAGTAACTCGTTACCTTAAAAGTTACTGAAAAACTGTTACTGTAACGCGTTACTTTTACTTCGTTACCGCCCAACACTGACTGTTTTGCAATTGCTGGCATAAGCTTATTAGGAACGCTGCCTAGATAAGCCATCCCAATGACCGTTTCCCCTTTTGACATGGCTTGGGTCGCAAGAACTCCTTTGCAATCCCAAAACCCTCGATCTCGCCTGCTGGTCGAGCCACCTTGAATTTTCTTGAAAGTGGTGCTTCCATTAAGCTGACCCTTTGGCTCAGGATCGTAGAGAGATTCACAGGTTTCATCAATCGTGGCATTGCTATTCAAGAAAGCAAGGCCTTTTCGGCGAAAAAGACGTATTAACTGTCGGCCTTCACTCACTCAGACAATAGATCTGCCGTGAGTTACCTTATAACCCATTGACATTAAACCTTCCTCACGTGGAGGTACTCTGTCAGAATTGCGTGAGCAGATCCCACAGAAATTGCGCAAAGCTCTGTTATTTATTTGGACTAATTGACTCCTGTCTTCCATGACAATGCCCTCCAGTAGGTCACAAATTTTGCCATTTTGTCAGCGGCTGTGAACCATCAACATATTTCTATAATCTTTCACCCATCTTCCTATGGTGGGTTCTGATAGGCAAAACTATGAATGTCAGTGGCTATCTCTGCTTGCAGTGTTAAAAGCTTGATGATGGCTTTTCACTCAACTTCAGAAAGTGCCATGTACCATCTTCAACCAATGCTCATTTCAGACTGAACGAAATGTGCCGCTGTTGGCGAATTCTGTATTTGAGCAAATTAAGAATTGTAGCACTGTGACGTTACAAGCAGACCTTTCTCCAGAACAAGTTCCAGCTTATATATGTATATTCTGGCTCGTGATATGCAGCAGTAGTAGCTGTTTGGTGGAGACAGGGAAGGCTGACCTCCTGTTTCATTGACGATACACTACTGCTAGCATATCAAGAGTCGCCACTGCTTAGATGTGATCCAAGAATTGTCAGGCCCTTTCGCCGAGGATGTGGAGAAGTTTTTTTGAGGTAGGGTTTATTATTTATTTTATTTTATTTTTTAGCAAAATGTATCTGGCAACCGTTGGCGAATCGCTGATCGCAATAGCATACATTTGTTATGGTTTCAACATGGCCTTAGCATGGTCTGCATGAAGGCATGGCTTAGGGGTAGGTTTGTGATTTTTGGTAAAGTATTCTTCACTTGAGTCAGAGAAAATTTCACTTGACTGAGACATTTGTGCATGAGATATACCTCATGTCCGGCTGTCTGAGTCAAGTGAAAGACTAACGTTAGGTGATGATAGGTAATAGGCTATTTGACTTTGTAGTCCTTATATGATGCTGCTTCGCAATTTCAAAAAAGAGTTGCACACTTCTTTAATGCCCAGTTGGCTCAGGTATATGCAGGGTCATGGAAGGCTTAAGAAAGTGCCAGAACTACAGCATTGGCCTAGGCTTATGAGTCTAATTGAGTGAGTACTCTTCTCACCCTGTACCTCTAAGTTAAGGGCCAAGGGGACAGGTAATATGAGCTCTTATGTAGGCTTTGGCCTATGTATGTGCTAACCTACTATTACTAAATTTTATGAGACCTTAGTGAGGTGGAAAAAGAATCTGATTCTTTTCTTCCTATTTACCATTAAGTCATCTGTTATATAGGAGTGCAGTTTTGAATATGCCAGAGGGGCTACATCAATGCAAGCATTGTTCTTCATCATTTGAAGTCTTGGATGAACTTTATGATCATCTTGATGAAGCTCATCCTTCCAACTGTCCTGTTTGTGGAAAGCTTGCCACTGAAAACACAATTGCCTGTGATAAGTGTGACCAGTAAGTTCACCCTACTGTTATTGCATTTCACCCCATTTTCTTTTCTGTAATTTAGCATAGTTGTAAGATGGCTTATCATAGTCTTGGTTCAGGATACCCTACAATGTATTTGGAGCAACTTTATATTTTTTTTTTGCATTCATGCTCTATTTTTTCAAATTGTCTTTCTTCTCTCATATGTACTTTAAATGTAGGATCACCACTGTCAGTGGGAATAAGAGCAAGTCGGGGCCAATGTATATTGTACATTATTGACCTAAAGTCTGGCATAACTTGTAAACAAGTGATAAAGACTGCACTTGATTAATGCTCTCTCACTCTTTGGTAGATGGTATCATCTTGGATGTGTTTCCCTTTCTGGTGATCAACTGCCCAAGGATGAAGAGGAATGGCTCTGTACTACATGCAGGAAGCCACAACGTTCAAATTGTGAGTGTCTTGATCTTGCTGAGGAGATGGAGAAAAATGAATCTGCTTTAATGTGAGAACTACTTAGGGCATATGTAGGGTTATTTTTGGTCCTTATTTCAGTCCATACTTAAAATATGGAAAAAAATGTTATGAAGAGAAAGCCCCTCGGCTCTCTACCAAAATATATATCTTTAAATCCAGTATCATATGTGATGATAGGAGAAAATTAAAATAGCATTAGTCACATGTTCACTTCCAAACAATCAACTGAGTCCCATGCCCTTCAGCTCTGGGAACTATAGAGGGAAGACTGTGAAATCCCTGTATGACCTAAAATGTCAGCATTTAAAGAATTTACTCATTTACATATGTATTCAATTTTCTTATGGTGCATTGGCTGTTTGAAATCCTTGATCAGCTACATGAAATTGACTGGATCATGAGAAATATGAATAAAAGCATGTAGAGTTGAGGGTTGTTCAGTGAAGTGAATTCAGTGGAGCCATTATGCTTCAACCATCTGGTTGAAGCAGAAAGGCTTCAGTGAATCTGCTATATTTTTTCTTCATATTTCCATATGTTTTCAGATATTAAGAAAATATTATCTGTCTCCTGCACCTGTCAGCCATAATAACTATTGAATGAATGCATTCAAGTTTGTGATGTATGTTCAGTGATATAAACTGTTGGGGATTCACCACTAGTTCTCCTATCCAGGTGCAATATGATAGGGTAAGGAAAAGGGTGCCTAATAGCCCATCTGTTTTTTTATTTTAAATTATCATTGTGACTCTTTATCAGTGTTTTATTTCTAGAGTGTGTTCTTTGCATGGAATGGACTCTGTCTTTGCAATTCCCAAGTTAGTGGGTCTTTCAGATTATCATCTACATTTGTCACCTTTTTTTTCAAATTATATAACTGAGGAGGTAAAAAGTCCTCCAGATCCCAATTCCACATCTTCTGCACAATGAGGATTTGCTTCTTCCTCCACAGCAAAGAAAGGGAGGCCTGCCTCAAGGAAACCAGCTAAGTCACTCTCTCCTGAGTTGCCAGTCACAGTCGATGAGAGCTTGATATTTGAGGAGTCCCCTTCGGTAGCAACAGACAGGTCAGCTGCAAGGTCTCATTCTTTGTGTTGATAGCCTACACTGGTGCTTTGTGTTATTCCAGTAATGCCAAAATACTGATGAACCCTTGAGTACTGGAAAAGAATGAAACCATTCCTGTAGTACTAATGGTGTAGAGAGATGTTTTAGTGTTGGATCATTGGCTGTCTACTTCATAAGCTTGGATGTGTCTTGTCTGCCATCCCCCTCTTTGGCCTTGGTCTGGCTAGGGAGGGGGGGGGGGGGCTGAGTTGACCAGTGCATGAAGTGTGAAAGGAGTTTTCTCAAAATTCCACAGTACTGGGTCCTGAGTACCATGCTTCTAACTTTTCCCAGCTCTGCACAGCCCTTATAGCACAATGTCATAGGTCTCAGCTGCGTGAAAGTTTCTTTGACTCATAGTTCCATATTGCTGGCAAAATGTGAAGGTGACCTAGTGGTGGTATATCTCAGGGGATTTTACACCAAAATGGCTTCAATGCCATCAACCATGATGGTCTTTCATTATGCTCCAAGAAGTGCCAAAGTATATGCTAAAATTATTCCAAGATGTGCAAAAAGTCTTTGGGTGAAGTTGATTGTCCAGAAGTTTTTATCTTTGGCAATTTCCTAAATCTCTATGAAACTCTGAAAAGGGTGTTGCAAACCAAGCAACTCATTGTAATAAATATGCTTTCAATGTTTTGTTGTTTTACTGAGGCTTTCACCTTCAATTGCCAGAAATATTTTAACTCTGCCAATGTGTCAGTCTGAATTTAATGCCGGTAATAAAAAAAATTGATGGAAGAGAGTATGCCTCACTATGAAAGGAAAGCTCCTCAGCGAGCACACTTTGAATTAGAGTACAGAGAGATGTAACCACTACTTCACAGTTATATTTCATATAAAAAACAGGGGAACAAACCATGGTGTTGTCAGAAGTCCAGGAACTCTATCAGCAGCCCTTATAAAACAAGTTATAAGGAAAAGCATGCATTAATTGAGAGATGGGTTGTAATGAAGTAAAAGTACTGCATTACAGCAACTTATTACATTTTGTGGCAATCATTGACTAGAAATCACTTTGCAGATTCTTTTAAAAGGTCAAGGAAAACTGACTGGCTCTTTTCAATTGCATTTATCCTTGTCATCACTTGAAAAGCTGAAAATGCTGTTCATTAAATACAGTACTCCCCTGCTAGCTAATTCTGTAGGGGAGTGGCTATTGTCTTGAACATTTTTGCCAACAGAAGCTGCATTTCTGATGTCAGCTTTGAGAATTGGCTCTTCTAAGGGTGGATTTATGCATGCAAGATTTATGCATGTCTGTAACTTATTGCATCAGTACTTTTTGCACTTCCATAAAAATAGGTAAGAACTTAATTTAACACATTCACTGCTGGACATTTAAAGTGAGATTGTTGCTAGATTGCCAGTGTTTTTCTGGGTATGCAAAAATGTGTGCAATGTTTTTAGAAGAAGAATTACAATAACCAATTCATATAAACTAAAAATCTTAAATGTTCAATACTTACTTTGCACTCTACAGAGTGTAAACGTCATTTGGATCCAATAACATTCCATAAAGAATGCAAAATAAAATCAGGTTTTACTTTTCTTGTACTGCATGGACACTCAGGAGTGCATTGTAGGCAGTTTTTTTTTTCTTCCTTTTCTTTGGATGGGATGCACCTGCACCGCCTTCAACATCCTCACTCTGATCAGATGAGGAATCTGTTCCAAATTTTGGCATGAAATCAATATTACTATCTGTAGTTCTTAAAGTGTATCCCTAACAGGTTTTGAGCGCATGGCAGCAACTTGTGGGTCATCTGCAGGGGCTGGTAAACAAGGTGTGGGATTGTGGATAACTGGAAGGGTGAAAAAATGCTGAGAACTGTTATTAGTGTTGAATAGTGTTTGAGGAGAACCCTGGATGGCAGCAACATCACCTTACATGCCATCTCTGGGTGCTTTGTGGGATTATATATGCATGCCCTTTCAAATCAACCTTAGTCAATGATTTCTTTCTTAGCAGGAGCTTTGTAAATCAACCTTAGTAGATTTTGGCAGTGAATGTGTTAATGGAAAACTCTCATTATCAAATTAAAGGATTCCTCAAGTGAGCAACTTCCATGGGAATACACTTTCTTATGTGAAACTGCTCTAAGGTACAGTGCAAAGCAAAGATGGAAATAATTCCAACTGTATTCCAATGAAAGACATTCACACCTTACATAGAGAACTCCAGAGCCTTGGAAATGTAACTTAAACTTGTAACTAGCGAATCTTAAAGAGAAGTAATTCTATTTGCCACTATTTGTAATTTTAGCTTGTTACTTTATGCATGTAATTTACCTAACTCTGCATTTATTAGATTTAACAAATCTTCATTACTTTCAGGCACTATTCCATTGTGGAGTCAGATGTGGAGCTGAAGAACCTTATAATTGAGGAAGAGGAGAATGACTACAGTTGTAAATCCAGCAGTCTGCATTGCCGACTATGTCCTGCACTGCCAGGACAGACTTGGAAAAACCAGGAAGAAGTGCTGAAGCATCTTCATCGCTCTCATTGGGCTCATGCAATCCCTGTCCATGCAGAGGATTGTGAAACCCTTAGATGCTTGCCTTGCAATGGAGACTGTAATGAAGATTGGATATGTATTGTCCTTCACTACCATTGTCCCTTCTGCTTCAAGACAGCCACAGCAGCTGACAAACTTGATGAACATTTGGCTGAGGAGCATGGAAATAAGGTGAAGAAGCCAAAGATGGAAGAGAAGCGACGTGACATCAAACTCTCAGATGCTCAACTTGCTAGTCTCATTGAAAAAACACCTGAGGGGGTATTTCATTGTCGCCTCTGCCCCCCATCATCGCAGATAAAAAGCCATGATGAGGCCAAAGTTCACCTTGTGTATTGTCACATCTCTGAACAAGTGATTGTGAGTGGCAAGTGGGTCTGTCTTCCATGTTATCAGGACTGTGGGCCTCCCACACATTACCACTGTCCCATATGTGCCAAGGTTTCCAGCAACAAAACAAAACTTCTTAGCCATGTCACCATCCATCCTGAAGTCACACTAGACTCCTCAAAGAGGGCAGGGAGTTACAGTCATCAGGAGAAGCTAGAACCCCTTGCTGTCCGCTTGAACCACAAGACACAGGTGTTGGAACAAAAGGTTTTGCATGGGGAGGATCAAGAGAATCTCAACTCATTCTTCAACTCTTTGGTCATTAAACATGAGGATAAATACAATTGTCAGCTATGTTGTGAGAATGCCATCCCAACTGAAGAGAGTGCCCGAAGTCATTTTGACTCCTCCCATTTCTCGCACCGTGTTGTGATCAAGGATGTCGGGACATGCTTGCCATGTCTCCGGAAGTGTGCCTCAGCAGGGGATTCCAACCACTATCATTGCCCCTTCTGTGTGCACTTCTTGAGCTCACAGGAGAAATTTGTGGGACATATTTCCAAGCACCTGAAGCTGGAAAAAGCCATAAAGAAAGAAGCCATCAAACAGGTTGTGAAGAAGGATCCTCAAGTGAAAGATGTGTATGTTGAAATCCAGAATCCTCCATGGATGCATGCCTTTCTCCACTCAGGTTCCTCTATACTCAATCAAAGTCAATTGGAGTCTGTTGGGTGCAAGTCTGTCTCACAGAACTCTTCTATTCCCATTGAAACAAAGAACTTGGATATTAAGGACAAACAGATGACAGAACTAATTCTTGTTCCACCAGCCTCTGAAGGTGAGCTCATCAGATGCAAACTTTGTCCTGCTGAGGTGACCTTCTCTGACATGGTCTTAGCAAAGACACATTCTTTGGAGAAGCATGTGTCTGGAAAAGTCTTGGTTCACAATTCCTGGTTGTCTCTTCCATGCTTCAAGAATTGTGGATTTTATTCTGATTCTAGAGAAAGCCATTATCATTGTCCCAAATGTCCTCTGCAGTGCAGACTGAAGCTTGACTTTGAACGTCATGTTGTGACCCATTTGCCAGAAATCAAGGAGTCTGAGGCATCATCTGAAAGGAGGAATGATCATAAACCCACTGACGGTAACACTGGGACAGAGAAAGCGAAGGGAATTCGAGTGCGGAGTGTAGAGGAGATGAATAATACTGTTATGGTTATGGCAAATGATGCACTTCCTGAACAGGGTCCTACAGAGTACAAAACCTATGAGGATCAACTCACAGAACATATTGGGGTTCCTTTATCTCAGTTTCTACAAAATGAAAACGGGGAGAAGTTTCGGTGTCGTCTCTGTGCCTCACCTTATGAAATATATGCTGCTAGAGATGCTATCATTAGACATTTGGATGAAGTGCATCTTAAGTATCGCACCATGGTGGCAGGAAAATTTCTGACGGTCCCATGCATGCTGAACTGCATTATGTGCATGGAGGTGAAGCCAAACAGTGATGTTGGTACTGCCCATTTCCACTGTCCACTTTGCATGCAAATTATCATATCTGCTTATAGTGGATCTCTGAACCAGCTAGGGGCTCTGAAGACCTTCACCCAGCATGTTTATGAAGTTCACAAAGAGGGGTGCAAAAATGATATTGATTTATCCAACTTTGTCATAAATGAGAAGGGTGAACTTGTGGAGAAGATATCAAACAAGTCAATGGAAAAAAATGATACTGAAATGCCCAAGGACCTTGCTCTGTCACAGATTTCCCATATCTCTGCTGAAGATGCTTCTCTTATGGGGATGAATGTTTCCCAACCCTCTATGCTCCCTGAAACTTCAGTTTCTCAAGTAGCACCCCTAGTCACTTCACATCCTCTACCCACTGTAATGCCTACTCATCCTCCAACAGCTACAATACCTACTCATTCTCCACCAGGTAAAATGCTTACATACCCTTCACCAACTATAAACCCTACTGATGTATCAGTGACAGTTTCCAGAGCACCCATATTTAAGCCTATACCAAAATCTGCAGGGGGGGTAACCAATGAGTCTGTTCATGTACCAGTCATTACTAGTGTGTCATCCATGTGTCCCATAGGTGTACCAAGAAACATCCCAATGCCAGAAACCAGTGCCCCTTTGGCTAAAAATGGGATTTCTGTCCCTCCTACAGTCACAAATGCAATATCTACCTCACAAGATGGCATTGCTCACTGTGCTCAGCAAGATTGTATTCGAGATCATCGTGTATGCAACATCAACATAGGAATGTTTGCAAATATGATGCCTTCAATGGTGGATGTATACATGGTTGGAGCCCTGGCTCAGCTGGTTGATGCATCTCACACATGTCTCCTTTGCCCAGGGTATCATTCATGGAGTAATAATGCAGAAGTTCTTGAACATATCAAAGCAAACCACCTGTATGAGAAAGTTGTGGTGAGAATTGATGCTAACAATGTCTGGATCTGCCTTCCATGCTATAGAATATCCCTAGTTCCACCTCACTTTCATTGCCCTGTGTGTCATGCTGATGTCTCCCCAAAAGGAGCATTTCTCGAGCACTGCCTAGACCATGATACCATTTTGGCACAATCTCATGAAAAATTGTTCTCACTTCCTGAAATCTCTAGCTCTCCATCTTCCTCCCAAACTCAGGTCACCTCTTCCACTCATGAAGAGGGTAGCAGTCTAATCAGACAAAATACTGGCAACACCAAAGCTTTGGATAAATCACCTTCTCGAAGACCTAGGACATCCTCTACTTCAATGTATCAGAGCCCATCTCCAACAATCATGGAGACAAGGTGTCAATATCAGGGTTCTAATAGCAGGGCAGATGATTCCCAGGAGCTCACTGAGCCTACAAAATATCCAAGAAAGCAAAAGTTGCCTGTGACTGAAAATATTATTGGTACATCAAATCCTGTGATGAGAGGAAAGAGGGCTCTATCCCCTCACAATACTGTGGAAGGGTTGAGCAAAAAAGTGAAGGAAGGTGCCAGTGACTTAATGAAAATATCAGGCTTCAGTGTCACAAAGAAACCAGAAAACTGCAGTTCTATGCATGCCTCAAACCCTCTTTGTTCCATACAGTCCTGCAAAGCAAGGAGAGCACATTTTCATTGTCATACATGCAATCTCCTTTTCTATAAGAAAAGTGCGAGGGATGTCCACATAAAGGTTACTCATAAACACATGCTTGGCATGAAGAGTAACTTCAAATTGAAGCCATCTGCCCATTCCTCTGATAAGGTGCCCAGCCAAAAGCGGGGAAGACCTCCAAAATATAGAGTGGAAGAGCAGCAGTCAAATGAAGCTAGTCAAAAGCAACTTGCTGTTCACCCCCATAAAGGCAACGGTGACCAAAAGGGCTCAGAGGAACCATGCATCAAGTTCAGTGCAAACTACACTCAGCCCTTCCAGAAATCCACTCGGGGCAGGCCTCTGAAGCATAAATTGGGAGAACACCAGTCAATAGAAGCTAGTCAAAGACAGCACATTAGTTGTCATCACAAAGATGACATCAAGAAAAGAAGCTCTGAAGAACAACTCAACATAAAGTTTAGTGCAAGTTACACTGAGCGCTTTATCCAAAAGCCTACTCCCAGGAGCGAAGTTGGAAAATGCCTCTTGTGTCAGGACATGCAGGAGCCTATTCCATTGAAACAACTTGAAGTACATATTGAAATTGTGCATTTGAAAAAAGCCCTCCTGATTGATAAAAGGCTGCATGTGCCCTGTCGTAGACTTTGCCCTCCATATGACCAAAAGGAGAGCATCCATTATCATTGTCATTCCTGTCAGGCATGTTTCAGTGACAAGGATGATCTGAAATGCCATATTTCTGTCGATCACGCTCAGAAAAAAATTAGGAAAATCTCAAATGATACTCATGAGGAAGGTTCTGAATCTGCATCATCTCCTAAGTCAAGATCACATGAAAAAAATTGGGACAAGCAGGTCCCTTGTCATGAACTCTGTCCTCCATATCATCAAGAGGAGAGGATTCACTATCATTGCCACTACTGTGAATCTTGTTTTGTTTCCAACATTGATCTCAAGCATCATATTGCCTTTAGTCACAGTCATGGAAAATTGAAGGAACGGTCTATTCATAATCAAGTGGACAGTGCAAAAGCCGCAATACCTGCTCTCAAGAGGAACAAGAGGGGAAAGCTTGTAGGTATGTGGAATAATTCTCTATTCCTAGTGTAGCAGATGCAACCATAAATATACACATGACCATAAATTTGGAGGGTGAACTTAAATTCATATTTTCCAATCATGTAACCATGAAAAGAAGAGATTGTGTTCTAATAAGAAACCATTTAACACATTCACTGCCAAAGGTGTTGGTTGAGGTTTTCATAGAATGTGAGTTGCCAGTACCATTGACATCAATAGACGTTTACTTTGACTCAATTGTCAATAATTCAAATAGATGGTGCTTAAATGCAGTAACTTGAAAAAAGATTCAGCAGAAAAATGGCAGGCACAGGGAGATAGTTACTGCCCAAAACCGACTCACAGTGAATGTGTTAAGATGTAAGGAAGGATCACTGAATCCTTTGCATCAGAACTTAAGGAGTAGAGTACTTGTGATTCCTATTGTGTCTCAGGAGTAACTTGGAACAATAATCTTAAGGGTTTGGGGAGTAAAGAAGAAGCACTAGGAAACAGTAGTGAAGTAGTCATTGACATGTCAAGAGCTTACTATCCTGCAACTCTTGGAAAATTGGATTGTAGAATTTCCTTTTCAGAATTACTATAATGGTCATCATGAATTCACCTTATTTCCATTGCACTCACACTCATGTGAAACAGGAAAATGTTTTTCCTCTTTCAACGGGCCCCACTGTTCAATTGAAATAGAAATGGGAAAAATAGACTTTCATTTAGTATTGAGAATTGGTAGCATTTGTGGCATTGACATACTGGTATGCTCTTCATCTTGCAATTATTTTAGATGGTAGCAGTCAAGGAGATCTGGGACCCACAAAAGGTTTGCAAAAGGTGCATGAGAACGTGAAGGAAGCCAGAGGAAAAGCTATGGATGTAGTTTCCCAAGAGAAGATAAAGGAGTCTGACAGTGCTGAAATAGAAGTGCAGAAAGATGGAGGCATCAAGAAGGAGGAAAAGGAAGAAGGGGATCATAAGGAGGAATTGATCAGCAAAGGAGAACCAAGCCAGGATGCCCATGGTGGAGAGAACTCTAACTCAACAAAACAACCTGAAGACATTTCTCCAGCTATTACATTATCTTCTGTGAAATCTAGTACAGCTCTAGAACCACCATCTGCTTCAGCTTCTCCAATTCCTTCTTTGATACCTCCTCTTCCACCATCTGTTACCCCTCCTCCACCTCCATGTTCTCCTCCTCTTCCTCCACCACCACCTCCACCTCCATGTTCTCCTCCTCCACCACCACCTCTACCTCCATGTTCTCCTCCTCCACCACCACCTCCACCTCCATGTTCTCCTCCTCCTACTCCACCTCCATTTTCTCCCCCTCCTACTCCACCTCCATTTTCTCCCCCTCCTACTCCACCTCCATTTTCTCCCCCTCCTACTCCACCTCCATGTTCTCCTCCTCCTCCTCCTCTACCATTGCCACCACATGCATCTTCTACTGAATCTTCTCATGAAGAAATGCCCTTGCCCACACAGGATGCCAACTCTGAATTGGTAATGAAGCTAGAGAAAGGAGCAGGGAATGGAATGCTTCAAAATCAGTTTCATGGTAAGAAGCTCACTCAGGGTACATCTGTAGAAGAAAAAAGAAATGACGAAGCTAATGACAGTGAACTCTGTGAGAAAGAGGAATGTGATAATTGTGCTTCACAAAGTGGGAAGACTGAAGATCTCCAGGACCAGAAGCTGGATGAACTTGATAGAAACAGCTGTGATGAAATAGTTAGTGTTGATGCAGGACAAAAGAAAAATTCACCCCAGAGCTTTCTTGAAATTTCTCATAAAGTTAATGATGAAAGTGTTTCTTATGGTGCTGAAGTTTGTGATTTTCCTGAGGGCAGAAAAACAAAGGCATCAGAGTGCAACTTGGGCCTTGATACTGACACAGTGAGAAAACTGGAAGATATGTCTCAGCTTCAAAGTGTTCTCCCATCCATGCCCACTGAACTAACTCTTATTGAGGAAGGAATTCAGAAGTTAGAAGATTCATGCCAAATTCCTTCTGGTGACATCTGCACTAGTGGGAATGATTAAGACCCTAATAGAGAGGCATTGATTATAGAAGGCTACTCATCATAAGCCCCTCTGCCCTGCCCAGTTATTGTAGAATCTCAATCCATAGCTGAAAAGCATTCCATGTATGACCAAATCAGAATATTCCCAGTTGACTCAGCCATGTATCTGGGCATGGTTTTTCCAATTGCAGTAAGAAGTGTATGAAGGCACTTCCTGAAACTAGTGAGTGTCAAGTCACCCTGCAACAGTGTTGGTATTGTTGGAACCCTGTGTTTGCTTATGAATGAAATTCTTTTCTGTCTCTATTTGGTGCTGACTGACTTTTTTGCAATTTGCTATGGAATTATCGGAAGCACAACTGCCCTATGCAGGTGATCAGGAGTTAAGGCCATCGCACACTTAGCGTGTGATGCGTACAATTTGGGCACGCATGCGGCTTGCGTGTCTGCATGCATCCACTTGCGTTCGAACACAAAGGAACACGCGTGTACATAGCATGCCCTCACGCATCTGGGTTATTCCACAGATATAGGGACAAAATTGTCAAATAGAGAAATCCGAAGTTTAATGCCAGTTAAAGAGGGCAATCCAATACATCACATTAAAATATATAATATGATTAATAAAAGAAAACCCTATTCAAAACATAGTGATTGCGATTCCTTTATACTTGTGAAGGCGTGTAGGCATAAATGTACACGCATGTTCCCTCGCATTCGAACGCATGTAGATGCATGCAGACGCATGCCGCATGCGTGTTGAAATCAAAGTGTGCGATGGTCTTTAGTCTGGAACTTCGATTGGTGGATCTGCAAATTGAAAAGTCTGGGAACTCCCGTGCACTTCATCTGTTACCAGTGTTGCCACTGGCGATTGGACTAAATTTATAATACAGAAGGGTGCCCAAAGAAAAATGAAAAGATTTTCCCGAGGTCTAAATTAATTTTTATTTATTCCAACTCTGGGAATGTTCAGTTTTATGGCCATTCCTCTCAACAATTTCTCTGCACCGCAACTTCCATTCTGCCAAGGCTTTCTGAATAGGTCCAAATTCCCCCACTCCTTCCTCACAACTTTCCAGAGCTCTGCCCTTGTTATGGAGTGTCGGCGTGCAAGTGTTCGCTCGAGAAGCCCAAATACACGGAAGTCCATGGGAGCCACATCTGGTGCCTTTACAGGGATGTCGCTTAATGATGTAGCCTTCACTCTCCAAATTATGGGGGAACGACACTGTCGATTGGGAGTCAGGAGTCAGGAGTCAGGAGAGTTAGTGATATCAAGAGGCGATTTCGCCCATTTCGATATCACGTGNGGTCCAAGGACCGAGCCTTGAGGGACACCGCTTGCGACTCCGACCTCCTCCGACGCTGAAGCTCTACTTTTGATACATCACTGCCATACATGCGAGGGATCTATCCTCGGAGTAGAGATACCAGAACATTCTCTTAATACTTTGCATTCACCCTAATTTTGGGATTCACTCTGTTGATGCCTGAATTTTCCACTGTGGCAAGACAACACCGACCATGAAACCTGCGGGAAACTTTTTTTTGCACCAAGTGTACCAAATCTGGAAGCCTCGATATCCCCTCGTGATGTAATAACTTCCCCGGTTTTTGCCACTGTCACTCAGGTACTCAGGCTGCACCCTAGAGTCACAACATATTTGAGCTTTTCCCCCGCCAGATGGCGATTGTAACTTTCGTCAGTTGGTCTTCTTTCCCTTACGTTTCTCACGAAAAGCATGCACCGGCAGCTCCCACTTCTATTCTATATTCAAATATTGCCTGATGATATTGAAAATTATTCCCTTAGACACTTCATACTTATTTGCAACGGCCCATTGGGGAATGGGTTCTCTTGCCTGACGCAGGCTTCTACTTTCTGTATGATGTCCTTGTTCAGGACAGGATGCGGACGGGAATTTCACGGTTTTTCACCGCCATGCAGTCGATCTTTCCAACGTTCACCGACTTTTCGCATAATGCGACACATTGTCGCTTCAGATAGTGACCATTCTCTTGCAGCGCACTTTTTCACAATGATACCTAGTTTAATACGAATTCCCCTCTTCGGAAAGAGATTTTACGGAGGTCTCAAAACGTCCTCGCTCTACTGCCATTCCCAATGGGAGAATCTCCGAGTAAAAATTGATACTCATTGCAGAGACCTTATATGTTCAACATGTATTCTGGCATCAACACCCTCGAGCGGGAAAACTTCCATAGGGATTCAAAGTCATTTTTCCGTGGGCACCCTCTGTATTGGTCCAATATGCTGCGTAAGTGAGAGGCATTCCCCTCCCAGGGAGGGGAATGCCTTTCACTTCTGTGACAAAAGCATTCTCACCAATGTGAGAATACTCATGCTCTTCAGTTCACCAAAATCTTCTCTTTTCGTAAAACGGGAATATCCGGCTGACCAAAGAGTGTTCAGTCTGCCCTTTTCAGCTGACGAGGCAAAAACTTGAACGGAAGGTTCGGTAGATGCCTAGCTTGACACCAGGGCCGGCCTTAGGCATGTGCCATGTGCCTCCGCACAGGTCGCAAATTCACCAGGGGCGTCAAAACGTGCCCGAATAAATAAAGCTATTATGAATGCCACCCTCAGTTTTACTTCAGAAAGTGGAAATGTCTTCCGTTTCGGCATCTTTTCGGACGCTAAGGATTGACCCTTCTCCCTTCTGAGGGAAGGGGGTGGGGGGCGCGTTGGGAGTCTCTTTTCACAGGGCGCCGAAATAGCCAGGGCCGGCCCTGCTTGACACATTATCATAGCCTGAGGTGTTGCGTGATTCAAAACTCATGAATATGTAAAATGCAATCCTTATCCAACCGAAAATTAAAGAAATGGTGTATCGGATGTGTAAATCAAGGTTCCAAAGGATGGACTTCATCACGTAAAAAGGAATCGTATGAAGAACCTGGTCTCGGGCGATGCCATCTATCGCTTCAGTAAGCGATTGCTGACCTCTCGAATCGGCTCGTCTCCTCCAAATTCCCTAGAGAACTTCTGACCAAAGGTACGAAATTCCTCGAAGCTAACATTTTCTGAGACAGTGGAATTTCATGTCGAATTGAGCTTAGGAACCTCGTGCCGACCGCCACTAAGGACTTTTTGCAGAGAAGAAAGATGGGCAGTTTTTACTTCCAGTATGGAAACAGGTTCCATGATCGACATACATCATGCAAAGCAAATCTCAGAGCAAGAAAATGCCCCGTTGAAATTATTCCAATGCATCGATTGACTGGCAGTATCTTTCTGTCTCAAAGATCAGGCAGATCGATCCAGATATCCATCTCGATGAACTTCACTTTTCTTCAAAGCCACAATCCTTGCAACTACGGGGATGAAGATTGCATAGCATTAGATACATTAGAAATCATTCGGTGATGTCAAGGTAGATAGAATATAAGGTAGTCTCAGCTCAACTGGTTGCTTTTCATTGGCTGCCGCTCATGACGTCACCGTGGAAGGATCGGGGAGCCATGTGCGTGAGCTCGCCTTCATGTGAAGTCCAACAGCTAACCTTTTCCTCATCCTATACATTTCTGCTGCATTGATTCTGAATTTATTGCTGTTACTTTGTCCGCTCCACTTTTTCCCAGTGGTTTGGCCACGTAGGTCAGCCATCTGTAATACACATACCACGTACGTACGCCTATGCTGTGACAATCAACTTGAAACTGATGTGTTTCGGGGCGGCATACATTTACTGTGTGATTTACTCTGAGTATTTAATGGTAAATAAAAAGAAAAATCCGCAGGATTGAATAAAGTGCGAGGGGGCTTTCTATGCTTAGCTGACACGTAGCTTCAGCAAGCTCTATACAGTATTAAGAATGAAAGTGCTTGCTTCTTACCATCCATTCTTCTGTCAGCAATCTTCTTTTTTTTTTCGTAGGAGATTCCACTTCTCTAAATTTTTCATTCCAGTCATAATAAGACTCATTGGATCAAGTACAAAAGGGTTGATATTTGAAGCAAAACATATTCGACATGGAAAGTTGGTATTGATCTAACTAAGTCTAAGTCAGTAACTAGTACTGTACTTCCACGGATTAACCTTTATCAGACGGATTTAAATCTCTCGCGTAAGCGCTGACAGCCAGATATTTTCTACGAAGCTCATAAACTCTTGTTAACTGAGGAATTACTCATTTAATACCAGGGGCCGTATTCACGAAACATTCTTACGAACTCTTTCTTCGTAAGAAGAGAAAAGTTCGTAAGTGGTATTCATCAAACCTCTCCTGCCACGAAATTCTTACGAAGTTCGTACGTGGTATTCATTAAACATTTTTGCGTAAGATGTTCGTACGATCTTCGTACGCAGTTCGTAAGAATGCTGCTCAATTTTGGTATTCACGAAAGCGCAAAAGTTCGTATCTTTCTTCGTAAGTCTACGAAGGTCCCGAGGTATCGTAAGTGGCCACAATAACGATGTCGAGGGAATCTGTGGAACTCTCTTTCATTGGGTGTCTCAATTAAGCTAAGGTTCATTCACACTGGGCGATTAACAGGATATATGCACACAGGAATCACAAGATTTTGTCTCGGAGGTTATGAGGTTATTCACATTCATCCAGTGTCAGAAAAGTAAGACGATAATACTCCAGCAAAACTCTTTTTTCCGCTCAATTATTGAAAAATCTTTCGACAGAGATCGGACAGTGGGAACGATCTACCGCCAGTCCTGCTACTCTCCCTGAGAAACTGAACTTCTTTCGCCTTTGCAAGTCACTTCAGATCCGTGAATTAGATTTTACTTTTTTTTAGTAGTTCTCCGTACAGAGGAGAGACAGCTCACTGCCTCAGTCTCCAAATCCTACTCTTGCAATTTCATTTTTCCTAAAACGCTTGAGCTGAGTTTCTTCAGCAAGACATTCTTCCTTCGCTCGACTCCTTCAATGAGCATCCCAATTTTCTAACTGGTGAAATTCGGTCGTCGACCACTCTCTCCTCTACTCTCCATGATACGAACGGTGATAATGCGTTCAGAACTTTTCCTTGGGTATTTCTGAAACCTTGAGGTAGTTTTTATTACGTTGAGATTCACTGGGTACCGTCTTTTATGGTGTTTTCGAAGATTCAACAGGATCTCCAGTCGTGTTAAAACTCCCTGTAAGAGCAAAAACAACGGCACGGAAGGCGCAGAAAGTTTGCATAAAGCTCCTATGATATGGGGACTCGTGAGTCATGCTGCCAGCGTGAGAACCACGTTGTTTTCTATTCAGCGATTGGTTTGGTAGATCCCGAGCTCGGTTATGATTGGCTGGCTCATTATCATTGCTACGAAGTTTCATGAATACCAACAGTGTTCGTAAGAATGAGACGAGGACTTACGAAGTTCGTAAGAATATCGCATTCTTACGAAGTTTTCATGAATACGGCCCCAGAGCTTTTTCCCCCAAAAAAGTTGCAGTACAGCATTTGTACCTTTTAAGCCATGGAAAAATGCATTCTGTGACACAGCAGTTGCGACGTTCGCGACGTTCGTCCGATAAAGGTTAATAATTATGGGCTGGAAGCATATATAGCATATAGCTGGAAGCATGTGCAAAAAAGGTATTGAAACTGAGATGTAAGAAAAAATCATCGAAGTATATTAAATCCGACTGGATAAAATGAAACCAGGACTTTCATAGGTGGCTTATGAGGTTTGGAATATGAAAATAATGGTTGGATCCAATCAGACCAAAGATGACCTTTGCCCCTCCTTCATTTTCTTAAGGTGGTGCCTTATGTCATCAATGTTCCTGTTCAAGAACTTGACCCTAATGAATGTGCATATAGCATCGAGCATATAGCATATATAGTCGAGCATATAGCAGTATCGCTCTTGATTCCACAGAAGGGAATGTTGATTGGAGATCAGCTACAAGATTCTTAGATTCTTGATTATGCACTTCTCCTTGGTGATTCCTGCTCCATACTCAGCTGCAAAGGTTGCCTCAAACTGTTTCATCGGGTTCAACCAGTCATTAGTAGGTGTACATAACCTTTGAATTTACAGCTGCTGGATCCAGGTTTTCCTCCTTTCACTGCTGTCATCTAAGCTTGATATTCCCTTATTACCCATGGGTGTAACTTCCATGCTTTCCTTCCTGCGAGCAATATAACCCGTTGGTCTGGCCTAGGTCTACGAAATAATCGTTGATAATTCACGTATGTGATCCTGCATAGTAACGTGCACGAATCACTCAACAGGACCTGCACGGAAAATCTCCTCCCCCACTCGACTTCCACGGTAACGTGTGCGCAGAAATGCGAAAAACTCGCCCATCACTGCGCTTCGAGCTGAGACTACCTTATATTCTATTTACCTTGGGTGATGTAAAGTTCATGTTAGGGTAAAACCATCTTAGTTCGGACGCACTAACTTATATCGTAAAAAATTGAACATTTGCAAGAGAACCCTCAGAAAGCTCTTACCAGCACAAGATGAACATGTTAATGAGCGAAAGACATACGGTAGCCATCATCGTTTCGTACTATTCCAAAGTATTTCACCTTATTAAAAGCTCTTTCGCGAACTTGAAAAATTCAAGAAAACGTGCGGAGATTACTTGATAAGTGCTTCATGCCTGATATACAGATAGTTGATTTCTTTGCTTAATTCTCACTTCACGGGAAACTAAGGACACATGAGTATTGCTAAACGAAATGCTCATGCTTTACAGATTTCCACCTTACTTCTGGTGTGTCCAAATCAAATTGCGTTAGAACTTAATTTTTTTTTCGCCTCTAAGTTCGGATACCCATATAATAGGCACTATTGGAGATAAAGCTTTTAAAGACAACATCTTTATAACGCTCATACCTGTTCATATAGTGCTTCCAGTCACCAAAAATAAAGAATCTATATTGTGCCAATTTGGCGTGACGAATGAATCACCAGGTTCATCCAGCTCAGCTGTTCGAACATCGGTGGTTTTAACCTAGTTTTTTTTTTATCTGTTTACTGTTACACCCAACTTTTGCAGTGATTGAGACATAATTCGATTTTTTCCATGCACCCATATTGTAAGTGCAACACCCTGTGACGATTTTTACGACATGCAGTAGCAGAGAAATTTGTACAGAAGAAAAAACCAACACAATGTGTGCGCTATCGTGCACTAAAGAGACAATGAACAAGTTGTAGTGGTGACATCAGCTTCCATATTTTCGTTTCAAATTAATTTCAAGTCCCACTTAGCACTAACATCGATTTGTGAATGTTTGCCTATGTCCTGAGAACAATCCGAAATAACTGTTTATGGTATGTGTGCAGCAGTGGCGGCTCATCAGAGGAGGCAGGGCGTAGCGGCGGGGGGACGCAGGGGGGGAGGGGACACGCCCCCCCCCCCTCCATTAAAAAAAAAAAAAAAGAAGCTAAATTAAGAAGGAAAAGAGCATGAGGGGATGCAAGGGAGGCCCGGTTTCAAATTTTCTTTGGAGACACTTTCTTATCTAACTTGGAAAGATTCATTAAGGTATCAAATATCTGAAAGAAATCCCTGAGAACCAGTGGATTCATTCTCAATTGACGCAAAACGAGCGAAGTCCGATCTCAGACAATTGACTCCTGTCCAGAGTGGCGAATGGGCGGCCAGAGCCTGGAGACCTTCCCTGGCCCATAGACAGTCCATTAACGTATCGCGTAGCACACGCAATACAGTAGTACACGAGAGCGGAGAGGCCTGTCTCGTCGTCTGTATTGCGCACGAGCGGGTGCCTCCAAGCTAGTGCTAGTCTCTAAGCCCTTTCTTGCCTCCAGAGCTGCTCGGTCATTCAGATCCACATTGACTGTATCAACGCAGTTGTAAAGAGTCGCAAGTCACGAGATACATTCTACATAATCATGGTATTCGGTTGGTTAGCTAGATGCGATTTGGTTCGGGAGAATTTCTGGAACTCGCAAGGAGAGAATGTGGTCAAATCGACACTTTTCTCCTCGAACCTGATGGGATTCTACGTACTCTCCCTCAAGTGTTCCATGAAAAATCAATACACGTTCATTTCGATTCAATATACACTGCCAACATGGAACGTTTTCGTTCAGCCATTTATGTCCTACATGCTACTTAAGAATTACGACTTATCAGGCGACATGATTGACTTAAACACAATCTTTGCGCTTCATGCTCCCATTAATACTAAAATGAATTCTCGTTCATTATGAAGATCGTATGCTGGCCTCAGCAGGTTTTTCGTCCACGAGCTGCCTCTGGTGTCCTGATTTGTAGATCTTAGAAAAATTGCACGCATCTCATCTTCCCCGTTGGTGAGGCTGGATTAACATGTCTGATCTTTGGTCACTTCACATTCAATAATGATGAAAAGTTGCTCGTAGTTAGTCACTTTACGGACACCCTGTGTATGTAACGTTGCATTATTTTCCGTCATTGTCAACAAAGAAAAGATCTTAACCCTGTGCGATCCACTGTCGGACATGGTCCGACAATCTCTATAGCGTTACAAATACAGTAAAATGGATCGCAAAGGTTTAAGTTAACTTTGACGCATGATTCACTTCGAGAGGCTAAAACGAACTGCAACCAAGGTTGATTTGAAGGTCTATTGTGTCCTCTCCGATCTTATAAGTTTAATTTTTAGTTTAAGTATTTTTATTCTATGCAGGAAAGTGGATTTAGAGGTTTGTGTGATCGGCGCTGTACCAGCAGTCCCTTGCTTCACGTATGGCACTCAACGCATATTTTCACCATAAATCCATTCATGAGGCACTTGTTCGAAGCTGGGGCTCCAACCAAAATCTTCTACACTAATGCAAACTCGGCAACCAATTATTTTTTCAGGTGCAGCTGATATTGGCATGAAAAAAAAAAACTGAAATTCGAGGTTGATTTACATGTTGGACGATCTTGTGAATGTTTATTACCAAAAAACCAATAGAAAGTGGACAGAAAATGAGAAGATACGGGAGGGGTTAAATCCAAATATGATGACCGATATTGCTACTCGTGTTTACTCATCCAGAAGGGGAGATTTCTTGAGCAGCACGTCTCACCTCGCATTGCAGGGTAAAGAATGGGCAGAAAGGCGAGAAAGGGAGAGACGAGGCTGAGTTGTGTGGAGTCGAATGTCCATTGCATAAATCTCATTCGTACATTTATCGGTCGGGGGTCATTTCTGGATGGCAACAGTGTCCGGTTGCCTCCCCCATAGCGAACTGATGATAAAATGAGGGTCTTGTACGTGCACGGGTCAAATGGCTCCCTGTGTATACTCCATATCCTCCATCGCTGCTCCCTCGGCACTACGTGCACTTCGTGTAGATCTAGTAGACTCTTATAGGTTTATCCCTGGACTCCCTGGCCTCTCTCGAGTTCATGCTGGAAGGAGTTCATTCCCTTCTTCACCATGTCGCAGGTTCTCGCAAAAAGGTCTGTTCAACCTGATCTCTCTCATCTCTTTCTCAGAATCGCGTGATATGATTCGAGCTTCCCTTCAGTGGTCGATAGCAGTTCGGATTCCTCGCGTCGTGGGGCTCCGCGAACGGTCGAATAGAAATTCCGGTATTCGTCCTGAATGTAGATCGGCCTTGTGTTGTACCTTTACAACATGTTTCGAAATCTAAGATATTCTGATGGATGATGATTTTTCTCCCTGATTTCGAAATTCAGCGGAACGAGAGAAGTGTGTGCAGCATTCTATGATGTAGCCTAGGTCGTTCGTACAATTCACTGTAATTCGTAAACAAGAAAGGTGTCATCACCCTAGTTCTCGGCGGTTCTCAAGGTGACTAAGCCTTGGGTCAAAACTTGGGAATGAGGAGAATCACAGGGTCCTTCGGTATTTAAAATTTTCAAGTCCTTCGACATGTGGCCATAAAAACTGTCGGATGGGAAAACTTTGCTTTTCCGGGCTAAAGTCCCTTTTACAGTGTCCCAGAGTTATGCAGGCCTCTTCCTTCCCTCCATTTGTGGTCTTATCAATGTTCGACAGTACACAAGGGGAAGGTAGACCCTGAGCCTAAGCCTTTTCACGGCGAGTCCGACTGCTCAATGCTGTCGGTGTCGACTCTTCTGACTTTCGACAGGCCTATTGGCGTCGTGTTTCATCACGTCCCTATTTATATCAGGCGACAAAATATGATTCCCCCCGTCAAAACTTTAATTTTTATTAATCTGGATAGAATTGCAAGACTGGGCGATGCAAGAAAGGCCCTTCGGTAGCTCGTCGTGTGCCCTTGCTCTCGTTGACTTCTTCGGTTGGTTTTGGCAGGGTCTCGACCAGTCTTCCCATTCCCTCCCACGCAACACTTTTGCTCGCCCAAGATTATGCCCGCGGGAAATGCAGAATGCACCACGTTCTCACCTCTTCAGAAAGAGTGCTAGGCCTATATCGCTATTTTGTTGAAACGATTAGCTTCCCTGAATACCTCCAAGGAAACGAGATCGGCAATCGCATCCCCATGACTGCCGCGTTTTGCGGGAACTCAGGCGAATGGTGGTTGCCGAGTTCAATGAGGCGAAACTTTCCAAGGAGAAATTTCCATAGAGGAAAAACTCGTTTCTAGAGAGCATTTATCTCCCCATCCTCACCTTCGGTCATAACTGCGAGTCACTACCCACAATTCATGAATGAGGTCAACGAATGAATGCAGTCGCGCATACTTGCTGCCTCGATGAGGTTCTTTCGGCGGATGGCCGGTGTTGCCAAGTGAGAGGATGCGGAGTGCCACCATCCGTGCAAACCGAAAATTCGAGCAGCTACTTCGAATCGAGAGATCTCAAACCCATTGGTTCTGACACGTCTCCCGTATTGCCCCCCCCCCAGGCTCCGCAGAACAAGTCTGCCAATTTTGAAACTAACCAAAAAAATGTTTTAAGGGTGAATTTTACTTTCAAATGCCTCCCCCCCCCCCCCCCCCCCCCCCCCCCCCCCCCCCCATGACTCACAAAAAGTCTCCCAGTTCAAAATTACCAGCAGAAGACCGGTCGGTAGGCTTTCTACAAGGTGAAAGGACTCTATCGACTATATTGCCAAAGCTTTGTCACTTCGGGCTCCACCTGCTTCTCTTGAGTCCATTGTTCATGACCGAAAACATTGAAGGATGCTCTGCCACTTGCTGCAATCACGACCCCATTAAGTTGGGATGGGCGGCAATCAAAATGAATTATGAGCGAATCGATGAATTATACGCGATCAAATTTTCACTGCTTAATATTCAGTGGTTGCGCTGCCAAAGCGTTACCATATACGGTGCCGTATCCCACGTCTCGATACTGCCTACGCGCGATATCGTGCTTGATTAGCGAAAAATTGGTAAAACCAGGTAATTACGATTAAACACGAAACTTCGCAACATTAAGTTGGCACATATTTGTGTTCAAAGCAATACTCGAGCTACGACTTCATGTTTTTCATAATTATTCCATACGATAGGAAGATTTGCATCTCCATGGAGCAACCCCAGAACCCTGTGGTGGCTTCACTCAATCGCATCCACTGGCGTCATCGGTGTCACGACGCAGATTTTGACTTCTCTAATAAAAATGTTTACTGACTTAATCGGTGCATGAGGTCAAGAATTATGAACCCAAAACTAATACACTGACGTGTTTTTTTGGCAGGAATTTGCCTGCTCTTGACGTTATCCATGAAACGGTAAACTTAATCATTTTTATTTTTGCTTTCCATCTGCGGACTCATTCTAGAAGAGTCCAAGCACATATCAGAGATGATTCAATCCAGCAGTGCTGCAGACGCCATCTCGGTTCGATTGTGGGGACCTTGTTTGCGTAACTGCCAGATGGTTTACCTGCTGCTAATTTATTTTACTGCAGTTTTTAGCGTTATAGCTCATGTCCTTGTGCCCTGATTGGGTCGAGCCCTTGCACATTTTTTAAACCTTATTACTCGAGATGTATTCAAATGCGTCAGTAGACGCAATTGAATAATAATGTTATCTCCTATTGAATTAAGCATTAAATTAAGTCTTTCACAAAAATAAAAATGAGCATCGGATAAACTTTATACTTATGTTAAATTCTCAGATCTTATGAATAAAAACTCGGATGTTAATGAATACGTGTGCACAACTTCACCTTTCAATATTCAGCGGTTTGGCTGCAAGAGCGCTAAAAGAAACTGACAAACAAGCAAGCGCAGTTTTTTGTCGTAGTCAATGCTTTTCTTTTGCGTTTAATCTTCGTTTGGTAAGCCCTCGACATACCCCTCTTCAGTTTGAAGTACTATGTCTATAAATATACATGTAAGGACTCATACGAACCAGCTGATTCTCTGCTGTGAAGTTCTCATTATTTGGAAAAATTGCTCAGAACTCAATACTCGTATACCAAAACCAACTCGAGTCTGACCTCAAGTACCAGAAAGGATCTCTCCTCCACGAATGTGATTAGCAGAGGATGAGCGTTCACCCTTAAGGAATCCACTTCTAGATAGGGGAGGAGAGGAAAGGAGAAACACGAGGAAACCAGACAGTGAAGGCGAACTCCCTTTTCATTCCTCCTCATGGAAAGAACGACAGTACTCGGCAATGATTTCTGCAATCACTGACCTGCCCCTGTAAACGTATGAGTATGCTCTGGTGCTTAAATCGACAGCATAAACCCTCGCTATTGCGTCATGCCCAATTTGTTTGAGAATGTTTCTGCGCCATTGTGGCAAAGACATGCCTCGAGCAGCAGCACGGTGACTATCAGCAATGGGAGCTGATAGAGAACCCAAATTGTCTCTTGACCTCTAGTGGTAATAGGGAGAAAGGTAACCCTTGAATTATAAGGGGAAACTATTTTCCAGTACTTACGTAAGCCCGAATGGCTCAGGTGGATGAAGCCTCAGGCCTAGGATAGTGCTGCCATCTACTCAACGAATGTCTCAGACTAGTTAGTACGAAGAATGCTTACTAGGTGCCACCACGGTCGACGAACTGTCGTCGATTGAAATCGACGGCAATATCTCTTTATTGTGGATGGGTGGAGATCCAATTATTGATAGACCTTGCCTGATTGCAAACCGAAATTTCCTTGCTTTCGTGCGCTCATGAGGAAGTTTCATTTGGTGTCCCTCTTGATCCATGAGCCATCTTGGAGGAAGTATTCTTTTTTTTCTGAGTATGCCCTTTTTGAGCGTGCTGGATCGAAAACTCCCTCTGAATTTTGTCATAGACAGGTTAGGAAAGAGAGGTCATCCTGAACGAAGTCGTTCTTCATATGCCGATGTGGGGAAAGGTAGTTTGTCTTCACTGTCTCGTTTCATATTCCCTTCCTTTCCTTCCCCGTCCGGATACGAATCCCTTTAGGGGGATTGTTCTGCTCTGCTCATCACATCCATGAGGGAGATTCTCTTTTTCCAGCACAGGGGAGTCAGAATCAATTTGGTTTGGTACAATATTTGTGCCCTGCAGCATTTAGAGACTATTCTGAAGGAAGTTTTGGGAGAAATCAGTTCGCTACTGGCAACGCAGGTGATGAGATGTCACCCGAAAATCTGGACTCCCCTTTCGACTCTCTCTCTCCACCCTGCTGTCTCGATCATGATTTCATGCTTCATTTAGTGAAAGGGAATTTTTTTCTGCAGTCTCTGATGGAAGTATCCCTCACCTGATGATGTTAGGCTTAGAGCCGAATGTCTCATAAAGCCATTCAGATTACCTTGGCAATAGAATGATATTCTTGGAGAACGAGCAAGAATGTGCAAGGACTTTTCTCACATTTCTGGTTGAGATGCGTTTTTATATACTCAAATGCAAATAGCAGAATTTCACAATAAGCACTCTGCCCTCGAGAATGACACCTTCCTCTTAAAATCTGCCTTTCCCACGACGACGATTGCCCTCTTCAGCACACTGGGCCCTGCGAATTCAGCTTCCCTTTTTTTAAATATCTCCTGTCCGTCCAGCCAGGGACTCTTCTTCGCATTCTCAGGAAAGTCACAAAAAGACGCATCCATAAATTATGGAGCTCAAGCAAATAGGAACATTCGTGCAGTCCCTTGACTTTAACCCTTAACCCACCTTTCCCTTTTTATGTGCGCTAATTGCGCGACAACTGGTTATTTCCTTGTCCCAGGCATTTAATGACACCGCGCCTGTGCGCCTGAAAATCGAGACGTCGACTTGCATATAAGCTACCCTTTCCCCCTTTCGAAGACTAGATCTGCTACTGTTTGATACACCATATATTTCCCCCATTATCATAAACCTTTAAATTTCTTTTTGCAGCATTAATATGTCGACCCTGGTATTGTGCGTGTGGAAACCCTAATTCCTGGCATCTACCGTAGAATGAACGACTAGTAGGTGAAGATAGGGTAGGGTCGTTCTATATCTTAGCATTCCGGCGGGGCATGCAATCCTTTGCAATCGCAACAAGTACGCTATAAAGATTAATAGACTCATATTCTTTTACGGTGCCTGTGCCGACATTTAGTCGGCATTCATTCCAGTTCTGTATGCAAAATGCTTATCTAGGTAGAAGCTCCTAGATACGTCTGGTATTTCCTCTACATACATTTTTTTAACTGTCTGGCTCGGCACTCACATAAGGTACAGAGGATCAAATGGAGACGTTGGAGGCTTTTTTTTTTAACCCATAATCATGTCCCGAGTCGAGATCGACCGTTAATTTGAGATAGACCAACCGACCTAATGACAACCATTTTTAGTGAGAGCGCGTCGATCTATACTGTCTAGTAACTGACAACAGTGGGTTTTTCACGTACCGCTTTCGCTCGCCACAATAACCCCTCTCCTCATTTTCCCATTGGATAAATCGGACGGTTTTGGCAGGAAGCTCGAGCGCCTTTTGCATGCATATATTATTAGGGAACCTATCCAAATGCCGAACATCCAATAACCGAAAACAGAATTATCGAATACTTGGAATCCCGATGAATGAAATGGATGACGCTCGAAACATCCAATAAGTTGGACGGACTCGAATAATATTTTTGGTGAAAGCTGATTTTCGTCGAAGGGTGGAATTGCAAGGGGGAAAAATTGTGTCGACGACGTGATTCTCTGCTTATTTTAGGCTACTACCAGCTTCGGAATCATACGCTTCATGACACAGACAGCATTCGATTTCCATCCATTCTTGAAGTGCAATTCCGCATTTTTGCGCACATACAATATTCATGAAGACTCGATGTGGAAGTCGAGAACGGACAAGATTAAACATTTCTAATTACAATTGTCGGTACTCTGAACGGGAATACTCTCTTACGAAAGGGCTCTCTGAAATGTCTAAATATTGTCAATTTAGCCCATGCACGGATCCGGCTGAGACGACAATTTTCCTAACGCCTTGGTGTCTTACAAATAGATAACTTCCGTGTTTTGTTGCCCACGCGTAGATAAACTACCGTATACGTGTATTTCACTATCTTGGCAGTGACGTCAATTATGGAATTCCCCACGCGGATGCATTGAAGAGCGCCTCACCTTATCTTTTTTTCACATTTTGAGTTTTCACACTCTGATTTATCGTGGTGCAGGAAATCAAGGGTATGAAATAAGGATATATATTTTTCTTATTATTTTTTTTCAAATCTTTGAGAGACCGGGACGGATCCCCGAATGCGGAAGCCTAAAATGTGAAACAAGGTTGAGATCCCGCATTCTTAAATTCCCTCCTGTGTGAACCTTTACTATTTACCATGAAAAGCGAGGTAGCATGTTTAATACGTAAAGCCAATTTCTCTATATGGAACTCATACCTATTGATGCGCAGAATCGGTATAACAGTGGAAAAGTATTTTAGTTTTTTATTTTCCGACTTAGGGTAAACACCCCAGTTTTTGGCTACGCTGATACGACTCCCATAGGAATTGGACACCATGTGCGCACACCGGGAAACACTAGTAATAGGTCCTCGTTCGAGAAGATGCTGATAGAATGCGTGAAAACGGCCAGATTAACTGATTATGCTGGATTTAAGCCTCACTGGCCAACAACTGGAGACCGGCCAGAAACCGGGGTGCTTACCCTATATGCCGTTTTCAGAGGTGCATTCATCCTACTGTGACACCAGTTTCCAGATGCCCTTTGCACAAGATGCAGTGTCCTGAGATTCAGATCTGGACTCACTTCCGGATGCTTCATCATTCCTCGACCGATCGATGCCATGTGTCTTGCGTGCCAGCTGCCGAAGGGAGCTGTCCGCCTCCGTACAATCCGGATTAGGCTTCAAGTGACTATCAGATATTCGACTCGGTGTAAAGGCATCTGGATGGCCAACGTTATCGGACGGACTAAGAAGTACACGATGCTCGACGGCATTGGCTCCGATTTCAGGACCCTTAATTTCAGGCTAAGTCCATCGGTGAACTCGTGTCACGGTAGGATAAATGCATCGATGCTAATGACGCTTATGCTTGAAAGTGGTGACACGAATGTTGTCCTGCTCAAAAATAGATTTTTGTAGCGATAAATTTAGATTGCATGTGCAGAATTTGGCTTTACTTATTCAAGCACGCCTCTTAAATTAGCAGGCACCACTTCGTAAGCGTCAGCATGTTGGCGAAGAGTACTTAGTACCGTCAGAATACTAGCACTGATGTGGCTATTGTCTGTCGACCACTTCTCAGAAGCCAGACATGGCTTGTCTCCACCATGTCTATTCAAGCAGACGATATCCAGCGGTTCACCTTCGATTTTGAGGTATAGAGACGAGCTGGAGGAAAAGACGGATCGACGACGAAGGAATAGGCAAAAAAAAAATGAAAAAGGGGTCTCTACTGGGATGTAAGCGCCTGATTGTCGTGAGAAAGTGGGAGAACCTCTTTGTATCACGAGGGTTGTTTTTTTTTTTTCTTATGCGGTCTCGATCAGTCGGAGATGAGGCCGTGGAAAGTGTGGAATGAAAAGCATCATCATGCACTTGAAGTCATCGTCGGCTCTGACTTCCGTCCGCAATGACCTCTTCCTCCTGAATTCTCCGGTTGTGAACAGTCGGCTCTTCACCCCGGACTACAAGGGACAGTATTACGTGCCTCCCAAGATCCAGGCTCATGACTATTTCGGGTAAGATCGTTTCCCGAATTCTCTTGGAGTTCAACCACTGCACGGTTTCTTTTCTCTTTCCTTTTCTTGTCTTCTTCCGCGAAATAAATTAGGTCACTGCCTGTATGTATGACTTCTTTCTTTGGACGAAAGCGGAAAAATGAAATTTTGCATTCTATACGGATAATTTTTAGGTCGCATGTGATGGTACGATAGCGTACACCCAACACCAGTAAGCCTAGCTCCTGTTTGAAAGTAAAATTCACCCTTAAAACATTTTTTTGGTTAGTTTCAAAATTGGCAGACTTGTTCTGCGGAGTCTGGTGGGTGGGCAGCGAATGCAAGACCTCGTTCCACCGCCATGGCACCAGCCGCCGCCGTCCTCAGACAGCCCCCAAGGGTCGGCTGATCTTTTCAACGTGTGGCTCATTCTTCGCCTTTGCTAAAACTCTAATCAAAACCTGAAACCTAATTTAGTCCTGCATTCGTCAACCTCATATGTACCTGCATGTAGCGTTGTCCACGCGAAATAATTACCTCTAAGTAAATTTTTAGATTTTGACATTTTGGGCCGACTCGCCCAAGTTGTTTCTTCGACCGACAAAGCTTTGTATATCCTATCCGTGCAGAGGATTGAGACAACTGTGGATGGATCTATTTTGGCGTTATTTCACGCAATTGGACCACGAATGGGACCTCATCCCCTTCGATCACCTGACATCCTTTCAGCAAGAAACGCTTCTGATGCATTGGAAGGGGAAGTTCCTCGACACGGCGAAATTCCGCTTCTGCTGCTCGGTACGGGAGCCCTCTTTCCTTCTCGACTTATTTCTTCCTTCCCGCTTCATTTCTTATGTACTGTTTTGCACTTGGAGGATATGGACTAAGGCCTTAGAGCATGGAGGAAGGGGCATCAGAGGAAGGCGTGAAGTTCATCAAAAAGAAAATAACAAATTTGAAATGGCAGAAAAGTTTCCCTGGAGAGATCGCCGATCACACAGAATCCCGAAAACTTTCAAATGTTCGAGAATCTAAAAGCTGTCTCGACTGGCAAAATGGGCCAAAAGTGTTTTATCATTTAGACATTGGGCTCTTTATTTTTAACCTACTATGCAAAATATCTGCTTATTACTGGCTTTTTTTAAATATTCACAATGCGAATTTGAGTGCATTGACTATGGTTTAAATGTAGGAGAATGGGTAAACTGCACTAATCTAATTTCAAAATTGCCATTATGGGAATGCGTCTAATTTTCGTATTCAATAGGATGCCCATTCAAAAGTTGATGGATGTGAAAAAATGTGGAAAGGAGATTTTACAGCCCCTTACCCTCACCCTTACTCCGTGTCATATACGTATGTTTCGGTGATAAATTCCTATCAGAGTCTTTACTCCATATTTCCCGGCGTTGCAAATTTATACTCTTGGATTATTTTTCCATAGTGATTCCTAATTCATAGGGCATTCTCCATAGCTCCTAAGTTGACCTGTCTTCTCCAGAAATGCAATCGAGTGTGGACAAGCCGGAACGGGCGGGTGATATTCTACCACAATCTGGATTTTCTCTTCGATGTTCGAGGCGAAGTCGTCTTCAAACTCATGGGACAGCAATGCATGAAGTGCAAGGGCCGATTCGAGAACCCCATATGCTATCCCGAAGAAGTTCTCAAGGTCCGTTCAGCCGCTTTTTCACGTGAGCCATGGTTTGCTGGTTTGCCTCCCGTGCGAATGGTGATGGAGGTTACCTGTGTCGTGCAGCTGATCTGGAACATTTGGATCGTGATACGGTGCTATTGGTACGAGGATCAAGGGACGGGGATTTTCCAGATCCGCCGAGAACGTCGATCGGGAAGGCCTGGAGGTCCACATTTGAGTCAAAGCTGTGAAGCTTGTCTCTTCGGCGGATGCTCCTGCTCTACTCCTCCTTTCCCTTTCTTTCCTCTCCCCAGTCCCTAGTCCTATCAGTGCGTCTGACATACCCTAGTCTTATCTGACCGAATCAAGTCTTGTTTGACATTCAGTTTCCAGTCGTGACTTGTGCCAATGAAACTAGTCTGGAAATGTCTACCGTTTTCCTTTTCAAGTATTCTGCAGCCGATATCTGAATCACGCTCGGACTATAATCATTCTCGTTCTCGAAGTAAGTTCCAGGCTATTTCTGGGGTACGTAATGGGGGAACCAAGAAATGGGCTGGATGGAGGGATGGTTATTCCGCATTTATCCATTGCCCCTTCTGCTTTTCGAACCACTGATGAAAAAAAAAATTTGACGAAGGCCCCTACACCCTTATAACGGTTCATTGCTTGAACTATTGTTTATACCACATTCCCTTTGACATTCGATGCAGAAAATTGAACTCATCTAATTCTGGTGTCTTTGGAAGTTTTGCATATTCTCTGTACTGAAGATGGGCATTCATGCCCTGAAAAAAAAACTCAAGTTTTGGTCTATTTTTCCTAGATTCGAATATTTTTTTTCCTGAAGAGGGTAGCTCCATACAAATTGTGCTCATGCCTCTCGGTGGACGAAAAAGATCTAGAAAAGCGTTTCTAAATCCGGGGGGGGGGGGGGGGGGGCTCGGACCCATAGTCCTCGGTCCGCAGCGAGGCTCCATGGGGTCCGCGAAACTACGTCTAGAGAAAAACAAACGGACGAAAGTATAATTAATGTGAAAAAAGTTATGCAGTTTGAGGAGTTGTAGGAGGAGTTTTATGTGTGAAGTTGTTGAGGCTTGGCATTAACCCTTTCGTGCAAGATGTCCACTGAAGTGGACGACTATGATTTTGGTTCTGATGTTGGTTTTTCAGTCTCCGTGCGCATACATCGAAACTTTTGGTGCATGCAATCCACTCCAGGGCACATCAACTATTCAGTGTTACTTCATAACGGTGGAACATGCGACTACTACGGAAGAGTACCACCTTAAACATTAAAACATAAAAAGCATATGATTGTTTTGCTCTAAAAATTCAAGGGTTATATGTAGCTTATGATAGTGCTCCATCGCTGGTGTTCGTTTCTTCTCCCAATATGTTCATAGTTCTCTGATATATTAAAGTCAATAGACGTATTCTGAGCCTGTAAAAAATATTCCAGGTGAAGTATATCCTCTGTGGAAGTAATTGTCCTGGACCTCTAATTGTATTTTTCTGAAGAACTCCTCGATGAAGAACGAGAGAACACTTTCATATACAAAGATCAAGTATTACATGAAAGCTTCACTTTGTCGCCATGCAATTAAGATTGGAAGAATCCCTTAATTATTTTCCAGGCTTGAAGCAACAACTCAGGAGAAACTCTTTTTTGACTAGTTGGTTTGGCTCTTCTCCATCTAATGGTCATCATCATGCCCGGAAAATGGGAGCGATTCGTCTCCGTGCGAACCTGTCTCTGCATCTAGGTGGGCTTTTGCAATGAAATGATGTTGCCAACTTATTTGTCATGACATCAACTTGACTATACTTAAAGGAAAACTTCAGTGCTGTCTCGCCAGTTTCGTAATTTCTCATTCATCTCATGCATGATGGCAAGCAATAAAAATTTCGCTCTCGCGATTCTTGGCATTTTAGATATTAACGAGGACCTTCTGGACAATTTTTAAATAATCGGAATTTTTATTTAAACTTACGTAGTTTAAAACTTCTCACGATAATGAAAGGGGTCCTCGAAGTTTCCCTCTATTCCGAGAGGGGTAGAAAAAAAAGGGGGGGGAGGGGAAGAGAGATTGAGAAATTATGCTCCCCTCTTAGATCGCCGATAATAGCCTAATTGCTCGATGGAAGGGATTTTGAATCTTCTTACCTTGTATCAACTTTTACTCTAGAAGACAGGTGGATCTGATAATTCAAGGAATCAAATCGTCGGAAATATGTTTAAATTCCCTTTTAATACTTCAGAATATCGTTTAATTCCCCTACACTGCCAAAATTGACAAATATCTAGGCCTACGGTGTATGTAGCCGAAGCGTGCACAACTTCCACGTCCGTCACGTCTTGGAAGAATTCAAAGTTTCTCAACCAGCCGGCACCCGAGGTTGGGGCAATGTTTTTTCTCCCTCTTCCATGCGCCCGGTTGCACAGGGAAAAGGGAGAGATCAAATGTCAGAAGTCATGAGGCTCGTGATACCGCGGTAAATATTGGCTTTGGTGAAGGGGCATTTCTTGCTCGAGAATGCTCGTTCGCAACTCTCTCCGGATTGACCCAGTTCCATTGCTTTCTGCAAGCTTGTGCCATTCACGTAGCTCGTCACGAAAGAGCTCCTGAAGGGACAAAAAGGGCACGTATTCATCATTATCAAGGTGGGATTGCCTAAAATTATATGTCTAGGGCAGGTTTAAAGAAGGGGATCAGAAGGGGATTTTTTTGCTCATAGGATGTGTGGAGCATGTAATAGATTGATGACTGACACGGTAGAAGCACCAGCGGTGGGTACCTTTAACAGAGTATGATTGATCATTTAAGGAATGGGACTGGTCATGACCAAAGGTATGCAAATCCGTTAAATCCCATTTTAGGTATTTTTATTCCCTTTCTTTATTTCGAGCAAAAAGACGAAAAAAGTATTAAAAAATGCAACAAAGAAAGTTTAGGGTTCCAAGTTCTTTTACCTTTGAGAGCAGCTTTGACATGACGTCTTTCTTCTCTTTACCTCCTCGCACTCCCACAAAAGCATTTGTATTCGTTTTTGAAGTCATTGGGAGCTGAAATTCTTTGTCAATAGACTAGTTAGTTATTTAGTGATCTGGTTGGAATGCGATATGGGCTTTATGGGCTTTGAGCCTCTCGCTTTCGACTCCTTTGTAACCCTGTCCCATGGATGAAATATTCGCTGAAGAACCTGGAAAGTCCATTGATGATGAGCCCGAGAGAGTCGGTTTCGCCGTTGGAAACATCGCTGATTTTTTGGCAAACTGCCCTCTGCATGCAAGTCGTCATGTCGATGTTGTATTTGGAGAGGGCATCATCGATCCGGGAAAGGATCCCCACCTCCTCCTCTCCTACTACGATTCAGAACAAAACGATTCTCATTTTCGGGCATTCATATTCCTCCTCCATCAGGTTTAGTTATATTTAAAATTCCACGTGGAACCACGTGAGTAGTACCAAGTTATATTTGATAATGCTAACAGATTTCGAATACATATTATTAAATCTGCCTGGAACCATTAAGACAATCAATGTTACCTGTGTTTATTAAGAAACAATGGAATCTCTTGATCGTTCACCGAGCCCCCGATTACGAAGAACCAGACCTAATACAAGCGATCATTGGGGTTCAGATGTACCTTGTGATGATCGCCCGAAGAGGGAGGATCCAAAGTTATAAATGCTGCTGAGGGGATTATAGCCCGTAGAGATGCCGGTGAAGTATTTGATGGCCAAGGGAACGATGATGATGGCCCCGATGGTCACGATCCCCACCAAGATCAACCCCGAGACGCTGGGGCGGAACCACTGGCCCAGGCTGGCTGCAACGTTGCTCAAAAATAGGCTGTCCAGCGGAATGGCAAGGAACGGTATCGTGAACTGGAGCCCGATCTGATAACGAAAGTGAAAAATATTCGGCAGGATCAGCAACAGGTAACTCAGTAACAGATAATTCTCCCTCGAAGGAAAGAAGAGCGAGAGAGAAAAGAAAATATGAGAGAGAAGAGTTGAGATGAGAGGTAGCTGATATAATCGGGTGTCCAAACGGAATCGGAAGGAATGACACCGTGAACTGGAGACCTGAATGGCAACGAAAGTGAAATGTTCTGAAGAATTAGTAAAAGTGGAAACTCCCCTTAAAAGAAGAGAGGGGGAAAAAATGGGCCTATGGGTTACAAAGTCTGAGGTGAGACGGAGCGAAACGCAAGACTCCACCCTTCGCGTTCCACGCCCGGATGACCATTTCTCATAATAACCATCTCTCTTTCTGTTACCCTCCCAAACCCGTTGTAAACGACTCATCATTGTAGTCACAGGTGCATGATGTGGGTAATATGAATTCAGAAAGAAACCTCTTGGGAGGTCCAATGCCGTTTAAAACCCATTATAAGAAATGACAAGTAAAGTTCGTACCCTTAATTTATAATTTCGGTAGCAGAACTGTATCTACTGCAAATATATAGTAAAAGAAACTGTAGCCGCGTTTGTATAAAACGGTTGCTGGTGGAGACCTCACTTCGAGTCATTCCGAGATGGCTGTTGAGCTCAATTTAAATAGGAAATAATATTTTGTATAATAATTCTTTACTGTCGAATAGAGGCACTTTATGTTATACCTTTAAGTCTCTATAATCACTATGCACGTATTTTGAAAATATTGTAAAACGAAAAAGTATTATTCCTTTTATATGACTAATATTTTAAACTTTATCCTATTATTTATTCCTATCTCAGCTTTTCCAGCGGTTAGCTTCTTCGTGATTTCTGAAAACATGGCTCTCTTTGGCGCTATGCGAAAACTCAATCTTCTTCCACGCCAGGCATTTTGAACTTAATCTCTCTCTCGTCTTTCCCATTTTGAGTTTTATGAGTTTTATATTCAAAATGCTCTTGTATATTTGTTATTAAAAATTGAACAGTCGTGATGGTTTTGAAATTAACCACCAGTATCAATAGTTTGCATTAGAAATCCCAGAGCATAATATTTTACCCTACTCTGCAGCTAATTTTACCGAATAAAAGTTATGATAATCGTGATAAGTTTACGATAGGTCAGCAATCTATCCGGCTATCATGACTGTTGACTACCTCCAGTCACGCAGTTCCTTGCCTTATCGTGAAGAAAGGACCACGAAACGTAATAGCAGGATCAGAGCCATGATGACAAAAAGAGATTTGGACTGACCAGGACTTCCTTGTTATACAATCCGAAGTCGAAAAGCCTGGCCGTATCATTTCGCTTGGCAAGGCTCCTCTTCTCTCCATCGTATTTCTTGAGCGGGGAGGACTTGGACTTCTTCAAGGGGAAGGGCTCCTCTTGGACCAGGTACCCGAAGGACTCGTCTTTGCCCTCCTCGAGCTTGTCTTTGTCCTTGGCCT